AGTCAGTATGAGAAAAGGCTCGAATGAAGAGTGAGTTTCACTAAAAATAGCAGAAGGCAAACTAAGCTCGGAACCTAATTTAGCTAAACAATCATGATTTTGTTAATTAATATAGATGACTAGCGGATATCTATAGTTTTATGATTACTTTGACATTGATTTACTAATTAACATAGATGACTAGGGGATATCTATAGTTTTATTCCTTTGTATTTTTAAATTTTAATTTGAAAATCTTAAATCTTATAATTTTAAACTTCATTCGAAATATAAAATTATGATTATGTTATTATATATAAGTTAACTTATCATTAATATAAAATATGAGAGATTGAATTAGAGAAAAGTAAAAGAAAAAATGAATCAAATAAAAAATTAGAGTTTTTTAAAAGACCAATTTTCATTTAACCCATTAAAATATAATTAAAAGTCTTAAAAAATGTTATATAAAATAAAAAGTTTATTCATACACAAAGATAGTAAAATCATATAACTTTTATTCTTTTGAAGGTTAAATAAAATGACATAGTTATCCAAATAAACTATAGTTTATTTAGTGTGTATATATATAATGTATTAAATGCTAATCTGCTATTTTACAGCATGATGTAAATTATATTAGACCAATTATTGATTTACAAAAGGTTAATCTTATTGGAAATAATAAAGCAAGTATTACATAAAATTAATATTGTGCAAGTGATTAGTCCTACTTTTAAGTATCTGATTATTTGATTATGCTAAATAAAATAAAAATTATATAAATTCATTGGTTGATAATTTGGTTGTCCTATTCAAATTTATCCAAAAATAAATAAATAAATGAAAATTCAATTAGCAAGTGGGACAGTTTATATGAAATAAATTACATTGAAGGTGATAATTAATTGATTTATAAAAATATTTGTGTATACATGGTATTGTATTAAAATCATATTCTTTTAAGAAAATGATTGTCCTTTTGAAGATTTTCTCTTGCAACTATAACTGTTAACTAACGTTAATTGAAGAGTTTGGTAAAAAAATAAAAATAAAATATCATTTTACATTTAAAAGTAGTTTCTATTATAATTAATAAGGGAAAATTTAGATAGCTATACGAGTGACATTAAACAGTTATTTTGATTCAATTATCAAATGAATGTTCTTTTCAAACAATATAAAATTAGTTAAATAAAAATAATAACCAAATGAGATTGGTAATAAATTATCCCCATAATAACTTACAATTTTGGAAGAAAGAACATAAAATTTCAATCTCAAGCCATTATATTAATGTTTACAAATAACAGTTATAAGGATCATTTTATTTAATTTCTTTACTTATAAGGTTTAACCTTCCAAATGAGGTCACATATGAATTTATTGACTTAAAATTTGTTGTATAAATTAACAAATGCAATTTTTTCTCCATTTATAGATCAAATAAAACTTTACATTCCAAAAGTTATAATAGTATTTCAGTCATCAATCATATACAATTTTTTTTTTTCATTTTTGGAGTATCTTTATCCTTCTTTGGTGGAAGACATTAGGGAAATTGTTTTGTCAACGTTAGAAATACCATGCTGAGATAATGACTAGTGATTGGGGTTTCATTGGATTCCACCAGAAAAAGACATTATGAGGACTTCAAATGTACAGTGTAGTAATTTTTTCTTCGCCCCTTTTATATTGCAATATTTCATCGTTAGGCTTCTCATTTTAATTTGTTTGGTTTTCTCTAAGAATTTTCTTTTTCCAATTACAAACAACTCCACTGTAAAGCGGCAGGACTCATTGGTTGAAATCGAATAATTATAAGAAAATATTATCTTAATCATTAAAATTGAGTTTGAGTATTTAATAATAGTATATTTTATTAAAAAATACTTATTATATATGTTTCTATTTTTAATATAATAAAAATTTACCATATATATATATATTTAAACATAATTCTTAATTATAAGTAATTCCTATGATAAAATCTATTTAATTCTTTGTAATTAAAAGAGTTTGATATTTTCTCTTACACGTGGAGTTACCGTTAATTTTATACAAATAGATATTAAAGTTAAAAATATAGTTAAAAAAAGTTAATATCTTTTAATTTTTAAAATATTAAATAAATCACACCTATTGATCTAGTAAGGATATTCTATACCCTTTTAAGTTTATGGTACCATCACAAACACTTCTTCCTATTTCTTTGTAAGAGAAATTAAATTAATATATTAATGTATATTTATATATATATATATATATAATAAAATTATTTTTATTAAAAATTATAATATTTAATATTGTAAATATATTAGATGCTATAATAATCTACAAGTTTTATTTATATATGAAATTTTATAATATATCATTAAACATACATTTAAAAAAAGTTGTTTTGAAACAATGAAGAGTGTGAATCCTAAATATACATGTAATTGAATCCTTCAAGGTTATCTTGATAAATTTGTTTGTACAACTAGAAAACAGGGCCCATGGATTATTCCATACCCATTCCATACCTTTGGCTAATATAGCTATGACGCAATTTCCTTCAATTTGAAATACCTTTCTACTTGAAAAGTAGAAATCTTTTCTCATTTGGATGAAGGCCTTTGCTAGGTTGTATTCACAATTTAATTTCCATTTCCAAAAACGGTGTCCCTTTGTCCATCACATTTTAATGGTTTGCTTACGCATAAAATGGTTCAAGTGCCACAAGAAGAAGAAAAACAAAAGATATTGTTGTAGACACTTTTCTTAATTAGGGGTCAATTATGTGGATTAAGAGAGTTTTCAGTTAATGAAGGGTTCAACAATATATGTGGAATCTAAAAAAGAATTGTATCTTTCTCTCTTCTATTACATCATTCAATAATTGAAAATGGGTTTTTTTTTTTTTTGGATTATCTGTACCCCAAGTAAAAAGTGGTAATCGAAGAATAATATCTGCAATGGAGCTGAGGTTTGCTTCCAATAATGTCTATGTAACTCTTTATTCTCTGCGTGTTTCAAAAAAAAAAAAGAGAGAGAGAAGAGGGATAATTTTAAAATTTTAATAAAAAATTAGTTATTATATTTTTAATGTACTAATTTTTTCAACAAATTAAAACTTATGATTCTCATTCATATGCTTAAAATACTTTTTTTTTATTATAAATAAACAATGTTAATACTATTTTTTATATTTGAATGCTTCTTGGTATTTAAAAAAGCATATTAGTCAAATTAATAAAGAATTGACATTTTTTTAAGATTTACATGAATTTTACCATATAATAACAAAAAAATAACAATGTTAAAAGGGAATGTTATGTTTTTTACACTAAATAAAAAATTAAATTTCTCTCATACATTTTACTATTAGGGAATTATACACGTCAATAAATAGGTATGATATTTGGATTAGAGGAGCGACCACTGGAACTGTACTCTCAAGAGTGATGCCAATTAGTCATCATTTTGTTTAAAACGAATGACGCATGCTCTTTCCAAGTTTGTCGTTTAAAGGAAAAGAATAATGAGCATTCAACTGCTAATATAATATATTTAAAATGAGTATTATCTTTAATAATAATAATAATAATAATAATAATAATAACAGAAGAGAATATGGGATAGAATATAATAAAATGGGTATAAGACATTGAGGAAAAACATAACCCGTGAGGAGGGATGATTATTATATTTTTATTTTTTGCGTATTAGCTATTGTATTTTTTTCTTTTTCTTTTTTTTTTTTCTCTTTTCTTTCACCTCTTCAACACCTAAAAATTGAATGTCTAGATATCATTTTTGGATTATTAATTAGGTTTCACAAAAAATCATTTAAATTAATTAAATATAATCAGAATTTAGTTGATCGAAATTATTAAGATTTTTTAAAATTAACTTGACTCGAACTAATCAAATCAAACTTGAGTTAGGTGTATATTTTTTTCAAAAATATAAAATAGAAATAATAGAAAAAAAAAAAGTAAGCTAGTTTAGGTTGGATTGAGATCCTCTAACCTAAAAATATGTGGCTCAATAATATTATCCACGGTTAAGTTCACTACTGGAGTTTGTTTATTTTTTAACGCATGATTATTTTTGCGTTAAAATATACACAAATCCATATTTACTTTAAATCTATTGATTATAATTTCTGCAATAAATCTACATCTAATTTTTTAACACACTTGATGCATGATAGATCCTCGAAAATCCAAACACACATTTAGTCACGCGTCTAAATAGACGTCGAAACAGACGTTCGTTTTTCAGCGCTTCCAAGTGTAGTTTCTGGGGGATACAGAGGTGAGTTCACAGGTTTTAAAAGCCTATTTATTTATTTATTTTCCACTTATTCATCTGAGTGATAATATGGCTGGCTCATTCCAAGTAAGATCCACGAGAATGAGCTAATTCAAATTCACCATTTGATTTATGGGTTTATAACAAAATTTAGGTGAAACTCGTCTCTATTTCAAGTTTCAGATCCAAGCAGCTAAAGAAAGAGGCACAGGTCATGTTGAAGAGAAGAATGTGAGAGGCAAAAACAACTTAGATTCTAATCACTAATGGTATGTTTGATTCCGCGTCTATATGCTGTGGATGTCCGGTGTTATTAAGCTTATGGATCCAAAATGTAACTATATGCAATAACTTATATACCATATGGCTAATGCCATTGATGCATTTTGTTTTTTACAAACAGTGCACAAATTACTGATATATTAATTGACTACACAGTAAAACTGGGTACTACATGGCGCAATTTGAGAATATACTGTGAAAATGATACGCAAAGTGGGTGACTCTCCTCACTGTCACTGACACAGGCGAGAGTGGGTTACTTACAAAAAGGCAGTGCTTTGCTTTGCAGCAGATAGTTGTAGAGTAGCTAAATCAATCAAGAAATGAACATCAAATAATTCTTATATTCTACAGTACACAATTAAAACTAACATAATTAAGAGATATTATAAGTCATGACTCATGTATGATATATATACTCAACAAACAGAAGGCTAACATTCATCAAATGTGGCCAGCATAAATCTACATGAAACTGTCAAAGTCTACAATGCAATACTACCAGAGCATTTGTAGTGCACTAACAGGAAAACAGATAATTACATATTCTGGTTTCACTTATTGTGATATTAAATGGTAGCACTATACGCAAAAAGCTGGAGGAAGATGCCTCCTCATCAAAGAAAAACTAGCTTCCATTTTTCTCATCACTGCTGCTTTGAGACTCTATCCAAAGCGTCAAAAACATATTGCTGAGTTACATCTTCCACAATCACCGTCTTATCTCTCGACTTAGAACCAGTACCTATAGACACTTGTCTTCGTTTCACACCTAAAACCTAACATCACCAGAAGAATAATCTCATCAAACAAATTTTTTGCAACAACACCATTTTCAACATAACAAAAATTTGAAAAATGGTTACTAATAGAAAACCAGAGCTTACAGAACAAATGTAATCAAGAAGAGCGGCGTTTGCTTCGCCATCCCTGGCCGGCGCATCAATTTGCACTCCAACCGCTTCATCGCTGATATCTACTTATTAAATAATAATGATAATTGCGTTTATCACCTAAAATCGAAGAAACGCGAAATATAGAGATAGCGAAAGATAAAGACCTGTAACGGATGCGGATTTGGAACCAGGCTTAGCGTGGATGGTTATAGCGACGCAAGATGGAGGCACGCACCGAATACACGACGGAAAGTCATTAGGTTTTTCCGATGGGGTTGTTGCCCTAGGCTCCGCCTTCGCTTTCCCCCTCTTCGCCGGCGGCATAACCCTTGCCTCTTTGCGTACTCCAAACGCCGTCGTTCTTTTGTTATTAAGTTCAGTGGCATTCACGATCCGGGACTTGCGGTCGAAATTCTGAAATTAAAAATTATCAACATCAATCGTGGCCGTTAGTTTGATCCAACGGTTCGAAACTGGCCATTTAGAACATATTTGAAAACGATTAATTGTTTAAATTATTCCTCTAAAACAAGTTAAAGTTAAACCATAAAAGTAGTTAAATGCGAGCTTTAGATTTCAGATTATTTTAACAAAGAAACTACCAGAAGATTAGAGAAACTATATGTGATTTTTGCGACGGGACGCAACACCGGCGATGGGAGCGTCCACTTCGGCGGAGCCGAGGGTTTCGGCGGAACAGAAAGAGGCGGAAGCCGTCGCAGCCTCAACCGGAGCTCTTCCAATACTTCAGAAAGCATTCTCCAAGTTTGCCAATCCCGAAACTAACGCCGTTACCTTAGAAAATCTGGAGGTACTACTCAGAATCCTAAACAGCTTTTCATTCTCGATTATCTTTTTTTATGATTGATCTTTACAATGTATAAACTCCTTGTTTTCAGCGATGCTTTGGTTTCGTTCGCGAAGGTCGAAGTTATTCCGGAGGCAACGTGTCGGATTTGTTGCCGGTGTTATTAAATCACTTAGGTTCGTCGTTAGTAGATCAATTTTTCGTGACTGATAGAGGGGGAATAAATTGGGTTGAATTTGTGAGAGGTTATAACAAGTGCTGTGGTAGGGTGTCTGCGTCGATTTCGCTGAACATGCTCCTTAGAGTGTTCGTTGATATATCAGGAAGAGCGAGTGTGCCTCTGCATTTGGAGTTTGAATCAGGGGATGCTGATTGTAAGATTAATGGGTTTCTTCTTCCCAGTCACGTGTTGTTACTTCTTTCGGTGTGTTGGGTTATGTCATGGGGTTCTAGGATTTTGAAAGGGGAAGGGAGTACGAGTTTGCCAGATTTGACTCATTTGGTATTGTCAGCTAGTACATCGTGTGCCAAAGTTGAGGGTGGTTTTAATGTGTGGGATTGTGACATCTCGAGCTTGGAGGTTCAACTTCCCGCAGGGAAGTTTGTTACGTGGGTTATGAGTACTGTGCCTTGTCTTCCGGATTGCTTAAGACAGTATTTTCATGCAAGACTGCAAATGGCAGTAACTGCAGGGGTAATTGTGTATATATATTCAATAGCTTCAGTGATCATCGTGATTTATTTATTTTTTTGTTCATTTCTTTACTCTACTTGTTAAGTGATTAGTTGATTGCAGTCTTAGTAGAAATGTAATTTATAACAATGCTCTGTTGCACACGATTTAATTTTGCCAGTTTTATTGTTTGTTTCATTTCCCTTGCCGTCCATGCTGAAATTAATGTGATCTGAAACTACTTTCAAAGATACGTGTATTTACACTGCAATCTATGGTTGGATCTTTTTACCCTTTTGATTGAAATATGAAGACTGCATCATTTGATGAAAAAACAGATCCCAAGAAGTTGCCTGCTTTCTTTTATAGTCAATCTGCTTGGAATACTAGAATTGAGCAATGATCTTTGCTTTAACATTCCTTTGGATGTTGGTGACCTTGTTCAAGTCTCTTCTAGATTTCCTTATTGATTGTTGCTAGTGGGAAATGATAATTGTTTTAAAGTTCTTTCAACCTTAAACCTTATGCATTCTTAGTTATGCTTACCATTATCCAAAATCATTTTTCAAATTTGGCCTTTTGGTGTTGTTCATGTTTGGATTTTCTAAAATCCCAAATGTTTTGCTTTACTATAATTGAAAACTGATGAGAAAATCGTCATTTCTTAACAATCAGTATGGCTAATTTCTTATAGTCCCTAATTTAAGGAAATTTTCAATTTTTTTACATGTATTGGGTTTTTAAGTTTTTCTTCATTCATTTTGTTTAAAATAAGACGTACTACTGTTATACCATATTGCCATTGAACAGTTTAACAAAATTAAGCATTTTTCCTTATAACTGCATTGGTGGTATCGCTTATAGTATGGCAAAAAATCCACTTACCGCTTGAAGTAATTATGTTTATTTCTAATTGATTTGTGATTTGTATTTGGTAACTTCAGTTATTAGTTGATTAATTATTAATGCATTGGCATGAAGAATTATCATAACATTGTGTTAGTGTCCTATGGCTGATTCTTAGGTTATATTATCGATTTCTCTTATTATTATTCATTTATCATTTGCAGGGATAAACAATGTACTTCTCAAGTTATTGTTCATATTTTTATAGTTATTATTACATATATTTTTGCTTCATAGCCATTCTGTTTTTATTCAATATTATGCTGTATTTCTTTATATTATCAACTAAAACCTTGTGGCAGTATAGAACTATCTCTTTTTATGTTAGTTATTGTGGAAGAAAATTATGTTGCATATGGATCTTTGGTGTTGTAAGATCAAATAATTTCTTGACTGAATGGCAGGATGAAGTGGCATCTTCCTCCTCTGTTGGAGATATTTCATCAACAGATGCATCTAATTATATTTTGACCCAAGGAAGGGCGTGGGCAATTTCCATCACGCAGAAAAGTACAGTGAATGATGAGATTTCTCGAGCATTTATTAGCAATGGAAGTCGATTGGATGATAACCTTATTTATCGGTTTGCGTCTCACCCTCAATCATAGCTTCATCATACTATTGTGCTATAATAGGCTTGCACACTTGTCTTATTTTCTTTTTTATGATAGAAAATGTTTTCCAAATTTTTTGTAGGTATGCTGCTTGCACTGCAACACTTGTAATTTTTTCTGAGACTTACCAGCTAGAAAAGTAATGCCTATTGACATCAAATGTCTACTGTGTTATAGGTCATCCACTCATGGAAGAGGGCTCAACAGATTTTGGTCTCGTGTTGATGGGTACAAGGGTCCTTTGCTAATTTTGGTTACTGCATGTTCAGGAGATGCTCATGAGCGAAATTCCATCAATAGGAAATGGGTTGTGGGTGCCTTAACAGATCAAGGTTTTGAAAACAAAGATATCTTCTATGGAAACTCTGGATGTTTATATTCTATTAGCCCAGTGTTTCATGTATTCCCCCCTACTGGTAGGTGGTATAGGTGACAGTATTTGCTTTGTTCCTGTTTTGCTCTTTTATTTGGGGTCAGTTTTTGCAAACCCTTCACCAATTATGTATACTACTATTGACAGGTAAAGAAAAGAATTTTGTCTATAGCCACTTGCATCCTACTGGTAAAGTATACCAATCACATCCAAAGCCAGTTGGAGTTGCATTTGGAGGAACTCCAGGGAATGAGAGAATATTTATAGATGAAGATTTTGCAAAAGTAACAGTTCGCCATCATGCAATTGACAAAACATACCAGAGTGGTTCCCTCCTTCCAGATCAGGTATAATTCTATTGCTGAAAGTACTGGCCGTGTGAATGAAGAACTTGTGCCCTATATTGATTACATGCATCAAAAGTTGCTGATTCATTATATTCTCTGATGGAAACTTTTTTTTTTCTTTATTATTAGAAAAAAGACTAATTATGCCCCATGCTGTGAAATTTCCCATCATTATATCATGATAATGTGTTCAGTATTTGGCTGATATTAAAAACTTTAGAAACATTGAGAGTTTTGATTACAAGTATCATGGCATACGTTGTTCAATAACGAACTGCACTTGTCTCAGTGACTGCAAATTTCTAAGCTGTGGTTTGTTGGCTTATGTATCAGGGTTTCCTACCTATTGAAGGACTGATTTCAGAAGTTGAAGTTTGGGGACTTGGTGGGGAAGTGGCAAAGGAAGTGCAGGACTCATATAAGAAGAGAGAAGAACTTTTCACTGAACAAAGAAGAAAAGTATCCTACCTTATCCTGATATCCAATTAGTTGTTACTGATATTAATTTAACTTTGATAAACCAAAGAACAGCAATAACGTTTTGTTATCATTCTATTTTGTAGGTTGACTTGAAGACATTTGCAAGTTGGGATGATTCACCTGAGAAAATGATGATGGATATGATGTCTGATCCAAATACTGTTCGAAGGGAAGACCGCTGAGGTGGATCATCTTTATTTCATCTTTATCCTGTGATCCTCATGTCTGTACAGATACAGAAAGTTTGGATGTTAGCCAAAATAATGTGCAGTGCACAATGGGCTTGTATATGTTTACAGTATTGCCGTCAAATGTATGATAATATGGGCATGAGACATGGCATTCGGAGAGAGTACGCCCTTCTCTCTCGTCGTTTCATCCCATAATGTGCATTACAAGGCTAATGAGAAACATGGACTCAAAAAGTGTGTCAACAAGAAATCGCCGAGCGAGATAGCAGCCTTGTCGTGTCCAGTGTACATTAACAAGTGGAAAGCTTAGTTATACTGTTTTTCTATATTGCAACCGTCATTGGTATTCACCGATTGTGCGGTTGTATCTAAAAGTTTCTAGCATATCACTTCAAACAACGAATTCGTCTACACGTTGTGGTTGGCATTTTTATATCTTTGCATGTAACAGTTTTCTATTTCACTCCGTCTTAATTCTATATTACTCTGAAGTAGCAGACAGGGATGACACTACTTTTTTTTTGGTTTTTTCGTCAATAGATGATTGCGTTTAACCGTGTTGTTAAGTTTATTTAATTTGAAGTTGAATTGAAAGTTTTCATTGTACACAAAATAAAGTTGGTAATTTATATTGCGCTTTTAAGAATAAGAGGATATTTTATGTATTTATTTTAAGTGAAATGATTATAACAGTGAAGATTAGTTATTTATCTTGAAAAGATATAAATATCTTTTAATTTATAAGATATTAGAATAACAATTACGGTAGCGAGCATAAAAAAAAATCAGTAAATAAAGTAATAAAATTTTCATAATATTTTTATCCATTAATTTTATTTTAACATATAATTTGTTTTTTAAATATAAATAGTGTACGATTACATTCTTATGAATATTTAATGTATTTAAAATCTAATATACATTATCACTAAGGCTAATTATAATTCAATGATTAACTTTGTTTAAATATATTTGAAAATTATTAAATGAGATACACATCTAAGGCTTGAGAGTATTAGTGTAAAAGTAAAAGATGATGAGAATATAATAAAGTCTTATTTCATTTGAAGTACACTAAAATAACATGTTCCGTGTATTTTTAACTTGTTTCCTTTTCTCAGAAGATAAAATTTCCACTGAGATAAATAAATTAAACAATCATCAATAGTAAGATAAAAAAAAATCCTGTCGCATACCAATCAAATCAACATATCTTCTGAACAATGAAATCATATTTCATTGATATAGTATATGCATTATAATTTATTTATTATTCTCTCTTACCCCTTAGCATGCTTTCGTAGTCTGTCCTCCCAGCTACACACGCATTAACTCCTGGTCTCATGTAAAAACAAACTTATATTATGGGTCCGATAATTAAGCCACTACCTACAACCATGGTGGCCGTCTTTCGACTGATGTCAGATCAGAGTAGTACTTAAAATTCTCTTGTATAAATTAAGATCGGGTAGATTTCAGTAAAGTAGACAAATTATACTGATACGAAATATCACAGAAAAATTTAATACAATGTAGCAGATTCTCTTAATTATACACACCACTAGGAAAATTAGGTGGAAACAATAATTTCTTGGAAAAGTACATTAATCTTGCATTAACAAGACTCCTTGACCATATGGAAGAACTTGCACTAACAAAGGCAAGCTAACAGCAGTTCAGTTGAAGCCAACAGAGAAAGGAAACATTCATAGACTGAACCAATAAGCTCAGATGGATGCATATTACAGGCTGCAGAACAAGCTTCTCAGTCTCACCACCATGTAGCTGATGGATCCACACCGTTAGATGATATTATTGATAGGTCGTTATTATGAAACTCTAAAATAATTTTTCCATGCCGCTGAACTTGCAGGTAGTAATCGAAGAAAACACTCAGATTGTCCCCATTAGAAATACACTTACCCAATGTTCAGTTCAGAGAGGAGATATCAAAGATGGAAAAGAGACTGAAACGGTATTAACTTTTATCGATGATTTTGATGACCTGCAATGGAAGGTCATGAACACTTAAAATCCTGGTATTGCTACCTGCAGCTGTCACGTTCCCATCAATTTTCTTCGTAGAAAGCTATGCCAATAAAATTCATCAAAAGATAGGCGCTCCACTGCAACAAGGAGCAAATACTTCAGAAATAATTAGATTTCCACAGGAAATTGAGTGAATGGGAAAATTGTAAAAAAGGAAAAGTTCATAACCTGGATTTAAGCATAGTAGCCTTGAACAAATATCAAGACAGTCAGGATCCAATCCTGAAAGAATCCATTGAGAAAACGGAAGACAGGTGCAAGATCTTATGTTTTTCAACAGCTGAAATCAGAATTTTGTTTTAGCAGTGATCACAGACAGACGCATTTTTAATATTAGTAGTTCAAATTTATGTTGCTACCTGAACATTATTTCTGCCATTAAAAGGTGGGTAGCCATTTAGAAGTTCAAAAAGAATGGCCCCAACACTCCACATGTCTGCCTATATTAATCAAATAAATTTCAGTAAACCCAGTAAATTAATGTTGAAATTAAGGAGAGTTGATACCTTGTCATCATATCTCTGGAACTGAAGAACTTCTGGAGCCATGTATAATGGAGAACCACAAACTGTCTCAGCATATTCGCCAGGGCGTACAATTCTCCACATTGTAGGTAAGAGAAAGAAGTTGTCAAATCAGTGAGAGTAACAAAATGAAAAATAAAATAAATATATTGTGTTCATCTCCATATTCTTCCCCTAAACCAATAAACTACCTTGAGAGACCAAAATCAGCTATCTTTAGCACCGCATCATACCCATGGCTCGATAGCAAAATGTTCTGATCCAACAATAACACCAAAGCAAACAAATTTGCTTCTGGTCTCAAAATGATAGTCACTACTACAAATAGATTTTCAATAAGAGACTAATGCAACTAGGACAAGCCATTATGGAAAAAAGGCTGCAATTTTCCCTTTTCTTTGTTTTCTAAAAGTTTTGGCCCATAATGGACTATCTGAAATCATTTGATATCAGTTTAGACTATAATATTTACAGCAATGGTATTTAGTAAAAAGCTTTTATGCAAAATTTGTTATGAATGCCTCATATCATAACCAATCATGATTGGATAGAGAGTAAGGTTTGAAAAGTAAATGGGTAACTAACAAAATACAATAACCTTTTTTTTTTGTGTTATTCACTATCTGTAAGTTGTTTCATAAAATTACATTCCTACCTTTTAGCGCTTTTCAAAAATTTAACAGGCAAAGAAGTCTCAAGTTTTAAATTGCACCTGAGTTTGCATAGTTGCAAAAATAACAACAACAAAAAAAGGCCTGCTCAACAGATAAATACAAAAAATTAAATCTATATTATCTGCCACACGGTAGTCAATTGGGTAAACTTACAAGTTCAACACTCTAAGCAAAAGCACATGATAAAAATTTCTAACTTAACTATAGTGCAGGCCCTCATCTTCTGTTATTCTAGTTAAGTACTAGACAGGAACTAATACCACTCAGTATTTACCAAGAGATGACATTAATTTCTAGTAAAAACCATCATCATATAAATGCTATGTGAGGCATTTTGCACTTAACAGCAGAGTGACATAAACTACTGTTTAAAGTTTTTCATTTTCAAAGCCCTGTACTCAATTTTATGTCCCGCAAAACATAATATATATTTTTACCTCTGGTTTCAAGTCTCTGTGAATGATGCCCTGAGAGTGTAACACTTCTAGACCAGAACCTGCATCAAATAATTCAGTCCATGGTAATTGCCAACAGAAGTAATATTTCAACATAATAAAGTTAGCACTTACCAAGCTGCTGCATGAATTTTCTGGCCGTTTGTTGCTGAACTCTCCCATGGCTCCGAATGTAAGAAGCCAAATTGCCTCCAGCACAAAACTCCAAGACCAGGTAGACACACCCATCATCCTAACCAACCACGAAACAACCCAGAAAAAAAATATATACTTTTTCAAATATTCCATTGCAATATGAAAAATAACAAAAAGAGTAAGGAGAGAAAGGTGGAAAAGCATCGAGCATAGCATAGCAATGAAATTGGGAAATAAAAAGAGAGAGAACCTGGAAAAAGTGAAGAAGGTGAATAATATTGGGATGGTTAACAGAGGACAAGAAATTGATCTCACAGTCCAAGCAAGATTTGAGGTGAGAGTTGAGTTGAGAGAGGAAAACTTGCTTCACTGCAACCTCTTCACCACTTGGTCTATGCTCTGCGCTCCACACTACGGAGAATGAACCTTCTCCGATTTTCGATTTCAAAACGTAACGGTCTTTTCCCAATCCTACCACCCTTGCCAATTTCCCTTCATATTCCATTTATGTGAATTCAATCCAGCACATAATAATAGTCATTCTTAATTCTGTGATCGTTCTTTCTTCTTTCTTCCCTGTTTTGTGTATGTCGAATGTTCTATAACTTAACTTGTATCAGTGTATGTCGTGCTTTGACACACGTGGCATCTCATGATTCTACGCAATTGACCCTCTCAGTCTATGCTAATACTCTTTAACTTTCGAATATAAATAAAAAATAATTAAATTATACATATTAAAAGAAGTAATTAATTTATTTAATGTTTTAATTTTATTTAAAATTTATCATATTTTAAAAATATTTATTGAAAAAAATAAATTATTTAAAAATAATATAACTTTCGTATTAACATTAAATGATATTATTTAATAGTTTATATTTGTATACTAAATATTAATATCAATAAAAAACAATTATGAGAACTTGTTTTAAGTAATTTTATTCCTATTTTAAAAATTATATGCAGTTACTGATATCATATTTTAAAATTAAAAATATTAAAAATTATTTTTGAATTAATAAAAAATATTTTAAAAATAATTTTATTAAATAGTGTAAATTTATTAATTTTTTTATTATTATATCTCAGTATTTTTTCATAGTTAAAAATAATAATGTTATGATTACATTTAAAATTTCATTCGTATACTTAACATTCTTTTTTGTTTTACAATTAAAAACAATTTTCATTATATTTTTTTATGAAAGTTGTTTTATTTTAATTATTATATAAAAAATTATGTTTTGATCTTTACATCTGATATACTATTTACTATTTTAATTTTAACATAAAAATCTAACAATATTGTAATTTTAGAAAATAATAAGAATCTATTATAAATTTATTTTATGTAAAAAATAAAATATAAATAATTTTTAATATAAAGACTGAAATAAAATACGGTATCAAGGATATAAAAAAAAATTTGAAGTTATTAGAATATCGTTTACACAAATATAATTTTAGTGTGTTTTTCTTAAGTATTATGAGATTTTTGAAGAGTAAATTTCTATATTGGTCTTCTAAACTGCAAGGGTCAGTCATTTTAAGTTTTGAAATTTTAAAACAAAATAACAAGTTTATAAATGACATTTATTTTAATTTGTTGAACAAAAAATAATAGTAAAAAATAAAATTAAAATAAATAATTTTTTACCATTAAGAAATAATAGAATATTTTGAAATCTCAAGCATTGAAAATACTACTCCTATACAGTTTTAAAGATTTACTTAATTTTTAAAATATCAAGCATTTAAATTTGTTAAAAATACATATTTATACAGAGAATTTCAATATCTTAATTAACTATGAAGAAGGATGAAAATAAAAAGAGTATAGTTATTTATTATTAACATTAACTTTTCTCTAAATCATACCTTCCAAGTTCGATATGTTATGATTAGTATTGTGTTTTTGGTCAACCAAGTTTGATTTTTTATGTTACTGTTATCAAGCATTTTATATTTTTGGCCGTGTGTTATCAAGTTCAAAACAAGGAAAAGCAAATCCCAAACCCTGCAAAAGGAAAACTAGTTTGGGCTTAATTTGAGTTCAGGCCCAGGATCCTACCATCATGAGGCCTGGATAAAGAAAAATCAAATGTTTGACCCAAAAAATAAAAACGAGAACTCAATTGTAGACCCAATAAATAACCTCAATTTAACTCGATCTTATTAAATTATGGAGAAAAAAATAAACAAGAAAAGAACTGTTATTTTAGTTTTAATATTATAAGTATTAGTCATTTTAATTTTTAGAAAATTATTATCTTAATCTTTGACTTTACATATAAAGTCATTCATTTCAATTATATATATAATGACATTTTATAAATTCATATATTAAAATGAAGATTTTTGTAAAGGTAACAAAGTAATTAATATTTGTTACTGCACTTGGAAAACCCATAGGATGGACAATTATCTCGAATTGAATATCTTTTTTATTCAATGACCTTTGAAACTCACTAAGATTTAGTTTGAATACATTGATAGAAATTTTTTTTATAGGAGACAAAAATCAATATAAAAAACAAAATTTTTTTATTTAACTTTTAGAGAAATTAAATAAAAAATAAAAAGAAACAAATTATTTCCAACTTATGAGAGACGTTTATTTATTTTTTATTTTTTTTCCAGTAAACTTTTCTAAAATTTTACCCAAACTGAATTTTTAAGTCCAATAGACCGAGATCTGAATTTAAGAGTTTCACTGGCCAGAAGGTTTTATTAATTTAGGTATTGAGAGAGTTGACTTCTTTAAATTATAGGTTAAATTTAAGAGAGTAAAGTGTAAAATTATAATTATAATTTAAAAATATGAAGTGAATATATATCATTATAATGTTGATGATTAAATTTTTAATTAATTATTATAATTGATACTAAAAAGTACAGTCTGCAATTTAAAAGAATGAAGAGTATGCAAAAAATAGTGGAACAGTGAATTCAAACGACAATCAATCTTGTCAGCACAAACTATAGGCAAAGCTTGAATAGCCCTTGAGTGTCCTTTTTATGGGCAAACACACTTTGTATATTAAATGTTATTGTGTTAGTGAAATGCATATAGTGGTTAATCATATCCCAACCAATGTGTCAAGCACTGCATAATGTAATTAAACAAGAGCCAGAGAAAAATAATAATGATTAATGAGAAAAGGTTGGGCATGCATTATTGATGAAACTACTAAGCAGTATGAGATTTTGCAAAATTAATTATAGACCACTGACCAGGACATTTGTAAAGCAAGTTTTCACTTGTTAAATCACCCACTTGTGAGTGGTGAATTGTAATGGAGAGGTAGAATTGTGCAAGAAAACAACTAAATTACACGCATCTCACTGCAGATTTATTGGATGAGATTCACCCATCATCTATTCCATCGTAATTAAAATTTTCAAAATACTACTAATATTGTTAGTGTTTTTCTTTTATCAGAGTCGACATTTTATTGCAATTAATTATCACTGCTAATTCCACTTATCCTTATCCAGATGCAAGTAATAATCATCAAGATAAAAAGCTGTTTTGTAATGGTAAACAGTACTAACAATTCGTATGATATATTTTTTTAACCTTTATTTTTTAAGCCCTTTATGAGTATGAGTGACGCCAAAGAAAAAATAATGTTAAATAAAGTTTAAAATGATAACAATAGATGTGGATGATTTTTAATAAACTTTTTAATAATTTTATATGATACAAAATACTGGTTTAAATATGTTTTTATCTCTATATAATTGTTTTTTTATTTTGGTTCCCTTTTTTTTAACCTATTCATACTTCATTTTCAAAAATAACATATATTTAGTTCTTACTATTGAGTCATTGTGGTTCAATGCTAACATGGTGTAATTAATTTAATTATTTAATAATTTAAAATTTTTAATATTTTTTTTAATTTGAATCTCTTTGTATGGTTAATGAAATTCAAGAAGTCAATCCTAAACCTAATCTCACACTTGTCTCCGAAGATAACAGGGATTCATTGTGCAGTAACATTGGACAAGGGTATGTATTTTTCAATGAGGTGCAAAAGCGTGGGCAAAGCATTACATTCTTGATTCTTTACTTAAAACAATATATAGTACTATGTGAGGACCAAATGAGGGTTAAATGAGTTTTTTTTTTGTTGACAAATACAAGTATTTAATGATTTATTTTAGATTTTTATAATTATTTAATATTTTATTCTTTTTATTATTTTATTTAAGGTTGTGGTGACATGTTTGGATCTAAAGTGTTAATGTCTTAAGATCATAAACTTGGAAGACGAGTTACATTTCATTATACTTGGAAGACGAGTTTTATGGTGGTGATTCATCACAAGGGAGAATTTTTAAGAGAAAGTGAACAAAAATATGAAGGTGGATATATGTACACAATTCACAACGACTACATAGACAAATTGTCATATATTAAAGTTGCTGGGTTAGTTAAGGAGTTGGACTATGAGAGTGCTTTTCAACTTTGGTGAAAAATCCTTAATTGTGAGCTAAGTTTGGAAAGTACATTTAAATATATTTCATTGGATTCTAATACCATGAAAATGGTTAATTTATGTAATAAATAATATATGTGATGTTGATATGTTTCCAACACATAAAGGTGACTGCCCCCACTTTAAACTGCTAGAAAATATAATTCATGCTGGGTTAAAAAACAAAAACATCAACACTAGCAATAAAGTAAACTTGAACCGTGAATAAAACAATGAGGAGAAAGATGACATTAGTTTTAGTAAGGAAAGTGAATCTAACGATGATGAAACTGTTAAGGATATGCACTTTGATGAAAACAAAGAATGACAAGATTATGAGTGTGATCATAGGTTTAATGCTAGTGTAAATGATTTTTGTGAATTAACAAAAAATATTACTTTGCATTCCCAAATTTCTTCCAACTTTCCAATTTTCTTGAGTATTTATCATTCCTCTATCACGCCAAGTCTTCGCAAACTGGGATCTGACACTGTTTGATTTGTTAATGATGTTATCTTTATTATTGGAAGTCTCTTGCAACTAGTATGATAGTACAGTTAATGAATCCAATAAAATAATAAACATTTAGCTTAGCCCCTACAGTTTAAACAATTAGCCAAAATTTGTGCAAGATGCCATTCACCTAAATTGAGTTAATATTTATGAAAGGTAAAAATTTACTCAAATTATATATTATTGAATTTAATTGGTATGCATCGATAGTTTAATAAAAATTTAATTTTTATTTAATACTCTTGCAAATCATTTTAAAATATTGATTAAAAATATTTAATATGTTCCAATAAAATATTTTACTCACTCACAAAAGTAAATATCAAATTAATTTTAGAATGAATAGTTTTAAAATATGATCAAGGAAACTAAAGTAAAAATGTTTGATAAAATTATTTATTATATCAAAACATAAATATCTAATACTTACTATTTTTCAATTAGAATATTGAATAAAATAAATTAAACACCTCGTAATCTATAGTGTTAAAGTACCCATTAACAAATATATAAAAATAGTTTAGGATCATACAGTATTATTCCTATTCTTAATATATATTGGGCTTACTGTTTCAAGGCATCATAATCTTAAACCATATTGAAGGCAAAGCACGTGCATCACATTTGTTTATTATTTGTACACAAGAAAATCAACAAAAAGAAGAAGAAGATAATGTAATCACTCCTTAATTTCCAATTCCATGCTAAGTGAAATAGTTATTGTTTTTCCCACTAAAGTGGTCTCTATTCCTTTCTTGCCCTTATCTCACACCCTGGCCTTGACGTGGGCCCACAGCAACAACGATGGTAGTGAGATCCAACCCACCAAGATATGAATCCAGGTTCTTATGTGGTACTTCCAGTGCAGCAAGAGCCAAAATGCAAAAGCCATACTTATCCAAAAGCTCGCGATTCAGCTTTTGTGTTCATCTAGTTAGAACCTTCATATTTTTTTCGGTTCTTAAATTTTACGACTGGAACGAGTTTTTTAAATTTTTTCAGCAAATGATAATTTTGGATAGGAGTAAAAATGATTGGATTTGAGACTACTCTTAAAACAAATAATGACTTTTAATATGAGACTACTAATGAAATTAAGGATTTATATGAAGATTATCATGTGACTAAGTTCCGTACAAATAATGACTGGAGAGTGAAGAGGGACCATGCTTTAATCCAAAACAGGGGATGAAAAAATAAAATAATAAAAAGTTGGAAAAAGCAGCGCCCTGGACTTGTCTCCGCGTACCTTTCTTCATTAGTTTTATACCATCCAATACCTTAACGCAATTACTTTCCGCCATGGATGCGTGGTTTTTAAGCCAAAAAGCAGTTAGAGACAAACAAAATCAAATTGAGATCAAATTTGGCTTACACATTTGATCGATTTATATCTTTAACGATGTTGCTTTTTCTACGAACCACTGCTCGCAAGTCCAAGAGATTGTGATCTAACCACTTGCACACGATGTAAAGATTGTAAAAGAACTCCTTATGCCAACGGAAAAACATACGGGACCATTTTGGATATAAACATCTTACTTGAAAAAGATACATCACTAACATATCATTATGTGCAAATACAAGGGATCGATGATTCATAGTGACATAGGCATGCAGGTCGATGTAGACTGGTTGGTATCTGAATTTTTACACACAACTAGCCTTGTCGAGTTTTTACTATATTCTTTGTTCATTTTTTCTTAGTTGTTCCCTGCTATTCTCAGTTACTCTACAACGTAATGAAGAACCCACTTGCAACGGATACTATATAATTGTAACTTTAGTATTAACGTGACTTAAAATTATGTTAAAATACTGTCCCAAACACACGATGGAAGAAGTATGAGAAAAAGTATTTGTGATTTTGATTAGAGTTGACAGAATAAAAATACAGAAGAAAGAATTTGCTTTTCTACATGCTTCTATTTTGTTATGTGGAGGGAGGGAATAATCCGACGAGTATACGAAGGATGATGTTCAAGTTTAGAATGTGCATTTGTTGGCTATGAGGCGGCTAAATCAAAAGGAAAGTGGAAAGGAAAAGAAGATCCTTCACCTGAACAATTTCCAATGGGCAAGTACGGATGAGGCCACTTAGCTACTCCTTTTTATTTGGGGCCCAAAAGATGGGACATAAATGAACCTTGAAGCTCATCCTTTTAGTTGGGACCCAAAAGATTGGACTCTAATCAACCTTGGAATCGAAACCATATTTTTCAATTTTTAACTCTTCTCTGCTAGGAAGCTTCCCAATTCCTTCTCGTGCTCGTGGGTCCCCGGGGAACACCATTATATAGCATATGAAAAATATTTTTAAAAAGGTTCGTCGGATTTTTTTTTTTATAAAATATATATTCAATTAAACGGTAAATTAATAGTATTTTTTAACAAAACTTTCGTTAACTTTTTAATAAAATCTTGATATTTTGTTTGAAAAATTAACCTTATCATGCTGTGACTATTTTTTATTTAAATAAAATTATCTTTTCTAAAATATGTTTATATACTAGATAAAACAATAATAAATTTAAAATATAAGAGTTTAAACTAAATCAAGGAAAGCACCCCTTAATTAATGGGTTAAATTTTGGAAAAATCTTGTTCCTGGTATGAATAAAAACTGCCACGCGGCACACCTTGCGGCGTGTAAGGTGGGATTGAGTGGACCCATCTAAGTGGAGTATCCATATGCTAAGAAATCTATCTACAACAGGCAAAAACAAATTAAAGACAGATAAAAAACCTTCAATCTGACTACAGTACAACCCTCAAGAATATTCTAATTACCTAGCAACCAGTGACCAAGTTATAATACACATTTTCATATCCCAATCAAAGAGGGACACCAAATCTAACCACGTGAATTCCCTATATATAATTCCCCGAGGTAGCCAACAACAAGAAGCTCCAAGTCCAACAACTCATTAATTCCTCCAAAATAACATGTATTCTTCTCCACTCCTTCATGACCTTCTTGAGAACTTCCATTCAAGAAGGTTACTCCTCCTTCACTCTCCACTTAACCAATCAGCCAAACCTCCAACAGCTTCTACAACAACCCATGACTCAACAGAAACATATCTTGGAGATGGTAATTTTGATGCAAATGTTGTTATGGTACTCTCAGTCCTACTTTGTGCTCTTATTTGTTCACTGGGTTTGAACTCCATCATAAGGTGTGCATTAAGGTGTTCAAATTTAGTGGTGAGTGACTCGGACAGCAATAACCCTCCAGCTAGAGTTGCCAACACAGGACTCAAGAAGAAAGCCCTCAAGACTTTTCCCACAGTAAGCTACTCAACTGAGCTAAAACTCCCAAGTTTGGACTCAGAGTGTATTATATGCTTATCAGAGTTCACTAGTGGAGAAAAGGTGCGCATTTTGCCTAAGTGCAACCATGGGTTCCATGTACGCTGCATTGACCAATGGCTAAGTTCACACTCTTCTTGCCCCAAATGTAGACAGTGCCTTATTGAGACTTGCCAAAAGATTGTTGGGTGCAGGCAACAAGCTAGTTCCTCCCAACAAGCTGTGTTGCCAGAAACCATTGTAACCTTAGTGCCCCTGGAGCCAGAAGGTTTGGTGCGTAACTATAGGGAAGTTAGCTAATTCACTGGTCTTTTCTTCTTATCAATTAATTGTGACATAATGGTTTCTGGTGGAATGGACCCTAGTCACCCATAATTGGTTCAGACTAGTCAGCCACCTACCTCTCAACCATAATTAATGTAGTGGTTAAATATTAATGGTAGATGTGTATAGTGTGGAATCCTTTTTTAGTTGTTCTAGTTTTTAAACCCCTTTCTCTACTTAAATGTACAAAACTTCTAGTTTAAATTGTAATTACATTCTTTTCAATCATTATCTCAAGTACTTACTTTAACTGAGAATTTAGGGGCCTACATCGTTTCTTGTTTCTTCAATATGTCTATACTGAATGAACTCAACAGATCAGGCTAGATGATTTAAGCAATTAAGTTAAGATGCTGAGCAGGCAAGCACTTAAGCAATTCCAAGTCTTTAAGGGGAATTCGGTGCGTGCTTGCTTGAACTTATGATCAAACAAAAAATAATTTTATTAAAAAATAATTATCTAAATAAGTTGATGCAAAAAGATAGAGTAAATTAGTTTTTTTTCCTCCTTGGATGTGTCAGTGTCACTATACCAAGTGTCTTTTACGTTGTACAACGTGAAATGCGAACCACATATATTAGTAAGACTCAAATTCTTTCCTTAAGTTAATTAAATGCAAAATTTTAATGAAGTTCAATTTGGATATCATTAAGTATTTGTAAGTAAAAACATGAAATAAATCAAACTATTGTCATAAATTAAATTAATTTATATATATTATTTTTTTTCAAATTTTTCAAAGTTAATACACATAAGTTAATTTTCATTTATAAAAAAAATTAACTTGATTTGATTTTGTTATTTTCTTCTCCATAAGCATCTGTTGAGAAATTTATATATCCAAATTTGACCTAATTTAAAATGAATTTAGATTTGCTCTTAAATATGATACGATTGTATTGAAAAAGACAATTTTAACTACTAAATTTTAAAATCAATCGTGATAAATTATAGTTTAATGAAAATATTGCCTTTTCGAACAAGACCATGTCAGGATATAAATCTATATAAAAATCCACTTCACCAATTGAGTCATTCATGATAATTAACTAGTGTTTTACTTATGCCAAGAGATACGAAAATTTTATTTTGGTTTGACCAAAACTTTCAGTGTCATTATTTAATTAAGCTTAAATCAAATACGGAATTGTGTTCCAACATCAGAAACATGAACGAGTAAAATAAGTTGAAGGACATTAATTTCTTGGAATCATGGTCGTGCATGACCACAAAGTTGTAGGATAAATATTTCAGAATTTAAATACCATACTACATCACAAACGCAGTAATAAAATATCACAAGAAAAATATGGTTGGTGGAATCACTACCCTTATCAAGTGTCATGTGAATAATGTATCCCTATTTCAATAAATTAAAATTCCAAGAAAAAGAAACACAAAGTGGTGTACTTTATCCAGTCAATGGAGCATATAATGAATGGAATCTGAGGCTGAAACCACTAATCACTAACAAATCAAATAAGTGTACTAAAAGAGAAACGTTGTAGCATAGTAGCTGACAAAGTGTTTCATTTCATTGCTAACACTGACTAACCACACTATCCCGGACGGTTGATATTTGATTTGCTAAAGCCCAACGCATTAAATATACTATGTCTGCAACATAATATGGTAAATGTGTGTGCGTAGGACACTGATAGGGGAAGCAGAGCATTATCTTTAAAGCAAATTGTGAGGATATTATTGTACCAACCGTTAGAGCAAATCAGAGGTAAAGGATACAAGAGGAAAGCTAGATAATCGTAGCAATATAAATACATGCATAATAAAAGAAAGATATGTTAAAAGTAAGTCCAAATTAAATTCACCAATAATTCATGGTTTGATTGATTTCTTTTTTACCACATGCCAACCTTTCCGTAATCCTGTTGTGGGTTCAAGGCTAGCTTAATTTATACACCATGGAAGAATAAGAAAAAAGTAACGCACCCCTGTAATAATGGCTTCAACTTTTGAGGGTAAATTGAAATGTGCTTTCTCATCATTCTGTTTATCCTAGGTTAGATAGGGTGAAGTAATGACGGCAGGTACTAGGTAGCTTATTGTTGAGCCTTTAATAGCTGAATAGATGCGTAGTGGAATAAAAATTTCACATTACGTAATACATTCCCTTTTGCATTTTTTTTTTCACTTTTACGTGTGAAAATCATCAAGTCTGGGTTAAAACATCATATGTAACATAGGTAGATGTAATAAATTACAACTATTAAAAAGACAAGACCTAGGCAGTGGCTATATATATGCTATGTATTGCGGATATGGATTATCATGTATGATGCATGCAGATTGACAGTCTACGCAGTAGCACGAAAAAAAGCATCTTATAACAAAGAAGTAAAAGGGAAAATCGATTATTCAATAAAAGAGGATCCAGCCGGTAACACAGTGCTTGTGGATGTTCCATGAATTATGCAAGATGTTTGCATAGTTTAAAAAATAAAATAAAAAATTAATTTAGTTACTAGTATAATAATATGTGAGCAATATATACTGTTTGTAACTTGGTGCATGTATCCTTAAACTTTAAATATGGTCATTGACCTTTTCTCGAAAGATAGGAAGCAATTTGGTTTTTTTGTTTTTTTAATGAAATATTTGGTTTCAGGAGTTGATAAATATCTGGTAGACGTGTTTCTTATGCCCTGTGATATATCTCTGATTTCTGTTTTCAAATTTACATTGACACTTTGCTGCAGGATCCAGATGTCACTCCATCCATATGCACCTTGCTGTTATATGAGTATGGAACTTTTTTTTTTTTCAGGTTTACTAAGTTTAAATATGCTTTTATAAATAAATCTCATTGATTTTCAAGAATATTTATCTAACAAGGTAACATAAATAAACCTTTTTATTTGGTGTAAAAATTTTGAAGCTTAAATATGCTTTCTGTTGTTACATTTTATAAAAATTTTAGTTTTAGTCATTCTGAACTAATGCTTTTAATTTTGATCTTTATATTTTTATGAATTTTTATTTTAATCTCTTTCACCGATTAACCAAAAGTTGATATGTAACAATTTGATAATTGACTACGTTAATATATAATAAAGATTAAAAATATTTTTTAAATATAAGAATTAAAAAAATCATTCAAAAGACCAAAATGATAAAATATATATTTTAGCTAAAATTTTATATAAAACATGATGTGAACCAACCAACGTGGGAGAGAGAAAGTGATAAGGTTTGAAGCTTAATTACATCACTTACAAGTACAGAATAATAATCGTTTCAATCTATTCTTACAAGCCCAAACAAAATGTATGCTTCAGGAATCTGGGTCAATGAAACCATAATTTGGATCACAGTACTATCCATATGAGCTCTCAAGAGGGAAAAAGCCATTAGGACAAAAAAGCTCCACCTATCAGAATCACCTTCATGACTAAAATAACAGAGAATCACAGTGATGCACCCAAATGAAAAATTAATGGGTAGTAGTGAATGGGAAGTTACCCATGTCTGAAATGCTAACCACTTGCAAAGTGAATCTCCATCCAGTGACTAATATAAGTGGAACTCACTCTTATATGATTTTATAATTTTATATTAAACAATTTTTTTTTCAAATCTGCATTTATATTACATACGTCATGTTTATAAAATTGTAAATCAATAAAATAAAAATTACGGATCATATTTTAACAAGAAACTAGAAACAAAAAGATGATATTGTTTATAACTTATTTCTTGTGGGGAGCTTACAAGTTTCAAATGATATTTGGATATTTGAATAAAGCATTACGTTGAACGACACTGGTTATACTTTAACTTCACCTGGTGTCATAAAATAAACAGCTTCAGCTCCATGTGTATTGGAATAGACATTAAGTTTATTTATTTCAGTTTTTTTCATAAAAAATAATTTTATTTTGAAAATAAGTTTGAAACTTTTTAGTGTGTTGTACTCTTTGCTTGTGTGTTTTTTTTTTTAATAGAACGTAAAAAATCAAATGTTTTATTTTCTCTAACTGTTCTGTGAATCTTGTGAAAGAAACTGTAACTATAACTATCTTTTAAAATTAAATTATTATAATTTCGATTATATAAGAATAATTTTTATTTTATAAACCCTAAAAAATATTTTTTTTATATATTCTTAAAATAAGTATAAAATTTATTGAGAAAGTATAAACATTAAATTTCTTTTGTTTAAATAATTTTTTTGTCATTTAATATTAAAAAAATATTTATAAATATATTTTGATCCTTATTAGTATATGATGTCAGTTCACGTGATGATTAAGTACTTGTCTATTGAATTTACTTTACAATAATTTTAAAGTTTTTTTCTCTATTTTGAATGTATGAAACTATAGCTTGTTTAGTCATTTATTAATCTCTTATATTAACAACTAATGGTATTTTATATGTGTGTGTATATATATATATTGTAGTAAAAGAGATGTAATTATAGTGCTTTTATGAAATATAACTAAATTTATACAAGGTTTAAAAAATGCAGAAGTGTTGTTGAATGAGTCAAAACTTGCAATAAGTGAGAGGACTTTCATCAATCGATTCAAATTTTGACCGGAAAAAAAGCTTGATAATTTACTAACAGTTTTGCAAACTATATTATTATAAAGATTAGATTTAAGTACTATATATTTATAAAATATGGAGAAATTTTATATAAACTTTCAAAATTAAAAAATAGAGGGAGAGGTTAGAATTAATTTTTTTTTAATTTTAACAAAATTACTTAAAGATATATTTACAAACACACACAAATTATAAAAATAACCTACAAGTTTCTTATAACTTCCAAGATTGAGTATTGTTCAATAAAGTGCCCATCGTACCGTTATTTAAAAAATTTCTTGAGGGAAATATATATATGAAGCATATATACAGTGGGGTTGAAGTGGGTCCTCTAACTATACTCACCACAGAAACTGAAGTGCCCGAAAAATGGGTAGCATGGAAAACAAGATTTGCCAATAGGAGCGAGGCAATCTCACCTTATCCACACGTCTACCACAATCTTTAATCACATCCATCATCACATCACTGGTATCATCCATAGCCTCAAAGAAAATAATAATAATAATAATAACAACCCACGAATCTTGGCCCTTGCAAATTAAGCTGATTTTCCTTTTGACTCACACACACCTTGCATCCACCCCACATATGGCTGCCATGAACTCTAGCGTATTGGCCTGTAGCTATGCCATATCGGGTGCAGCATGTTCTGAGCTCAATGCAAAGCTCAGTTCCGTGCCCTCTGTTGCACCCTCTTGTTACAAGTTGCCAGTGATCAAGGCCCAAGAAGCCAGAGCTCCCAAAGCCATGGAATCTCAAGCAAGTGAAGGAAGAAGAACTGCCCTTGTTTTCTTGGCAGCCACCCTTTTCACCTCTGCAGCTGCAGCCTCCAATTTTTCTGCCAATGCTGGGGTCATTGATGAATACCTTGAAAGGAGCAAGGCCAACAAGGTCTAATCAATCTCTTTTCTCAATTTAATTTGATAAATACTAATAAATACTTTTAGGCTAGTAGTTAAAAAGTTGAAAATAGTATAATTTTTATAAAAATTGTTTATTTTTTACCAGTAATTTTAAGACACTTGTTAGCTGAATATATTTAATTATGCCATACACGACATTTCATCCCTTTTCGTTTTGTATTTTATTTTGTCATCACAATAATGTAGAATAATTTGATTGTGTGCTATAGGAATTGAATGACAAGAAGAGGTTAGCTACTAGTGGAGCAAACTTTGCAAGAGCATACACCGTGCAATTTGGCAGCTGCAAGTTCCCTGAGAACTTCACTGGTTGCCAAGATCTTGCCAAACAAAAGGTCACAGTTCTAGCCTGTGTTATTTTATCCCAAGTCTTGCATTTTACCTTTTCTAATTCTCTTTGTGTTGTGTTTTTTTTTTCCCTGCCCTTCCCCTCTTTTGGGTTTTTGTTTAAGCAGAAAGTGCCATTCCTTACTGAAGATTTAGAGCTTGAATGCGAAGGAAAGGACAAATACAAGTGCGGTTCTAATGTTTTCTGGAAATGGTGAAGGGGGGCAACATTTTCATGCGCATTTTCTCTATGAAATGTATCTAGCTGCTCCTTGAAAATATACCATATTTTTCTGGATTGCTTTTATTATTATATTTTGATTATGTTGGTTTTGCTTGGTCACAAAATGTGTAAATTGGTCTTATTTCCTCTAGATTCGTTGAAATTAAATCTACGCTTTGTTTGACGGGATCTTTTAAAAAAGAAAAAAAAAATTAAGGAGTTTGAACATTACAAAAAGTTGAAATCATGCTTCCCTAATTCATGTAAGTTATTAAGTCATTGCAAAATCATCAATATACCTCTGTATTCTTGACAGAATGACCAAACCTTTGACAACTGCAACAAATTCGTGGTTAGGACAGTTCCAAAAGAAATTGTATCATTATTCCTAAGAGGATCAAAGTTGAATTTGGTTTTTCAGACTAAGCTTATCCTTACTTGGGTTGGGTTGAGATGATCAATAGAGTGAACTGGTTAAAAAAATAAACTCAAAAGTCAAAACACTATTGTTTTTCATTTTATAGAGGATATTTACAATTTGAACCTAAAGTGAAACCCTTTTCATTCTAATCTTTCAACCGTTTTTTCTTTACACAAGAATTGGATTAATTTGTTGCTATTACAAAGTATTATAAAAGGCTACATATAATAAATAATATAATTCAATTGGATTATTTTATATAAAAATATTTTTTATTAAACAAATGCTTTAATAAATTGAAAAAAAATGAATATCTAACTTAGTTATATTAGGTATCAAATGTCCATTTTAGGTACTTCAAACTGTTTGGTATGGATTTTTTTTTAATCTGTATAAAATTATAATAATAACAACTTATGTATTTAGTATTTTTTTAAAAAAATTACATAATTTAACACATTGATACTATTAAATACTATAATTATTAATAAATTTTTATCATATATAATTATGCTTAGGTTTAAAAAAATATTTTTTTTTTCGTCTACTAAAAAACGTATCAGTATTGGCATTTTGGTTCAGAGTAGTGGGTCTGCTATTTTGCATAGGCCCATTTTTGGGCCATAAACATTAAACAAATGTTACAAATCTTCCAAGGCCCAAATTACAGTTATGATCTCCGACTTTCATACTGTTGACCAAAATAGAAGAGGGAGACAGTTTCAAATTTCGAAAATGAGTCACACCCTATTTTCTGTCAAATGGGTGCGAGAAGAAAGAACAACTGAGAGAGAATTTTTAAAAATATTTCATGAATAATGTGATAAAAAAAATTTAAAATAAAAAATTAACGTAAAAAAATGTTTAAATATAATAATTGTTAACACTTGTAGTATGACGAATGATGTTTTCGCAAGACAAGCAACGGACCCGACAAAGGTTCCCTTGCGTGCATAAATAAGACGGATATCCAGAAGCAATAATATACCAAAAATCCAGTAGCAATAATCAAAATATCAAGTCTTTGTTAATTGTATTATTTTTAGTTTTAAATCTACTGTATTAATTACAATTAATTATAAATTGTATATAAAAATATTGTAATCATACGTAACATAATACAGTGTGAAAGAATTCATACGTAACATGTTGACTTTCGAAGTGTCATGTATTTCTCTTGTATGACATTTGCCTGTTGAGAAATTCCAAGGTGTTTATTAATAACTCTTTTTTTTGTAAGCAAAATATATTATGGGCAGTGTAAGGAATCCTCTAACCCATTTACATACATGAAGACTCAGACTAGCTTATACATACCAACAGATGATATTCCTTTAAGTCTTTAGATTCAATCCTGATATATGAAAATAAATCTGTCAGAAAGAGCTAGTCTAAGCATGTTCTAGAAAATACTTGTGGTTTTTGACAAGGAACGTATGAACCAAAAACATATTAATGGATAAGAATACACATATTCCAACCAATTCTTAGGTGTTCATATTGTGTTCACTATTCACACACATAATAATACCCATCTGCTGAAGTACAGCTATTGGTTCTACTTAATTTAGTTCAAAATATATGAAAATCTAGGCCATGTTGATGCCATTGAATTCAACAACCTTGCTTCGGCATATAAATTTGATGAAAAAGGAAACATTATTGGTTTCACCTAGAATTCTGCTGTAGATATTAAAAGGAAAGCCTCGTTTATATCCTTTTTGTACATTATATGTAGTAGTCAAAAGTGAGCCATCTTCATGATTGCATTGAGGATGGTCTCCATATGATTGATCCCTTTAAAACTTCAACTAGAATGTAGCAATTGGAGCTTGGCCGCTAAGTTAGTTGTCGAAGGGATGCAACCATATATATCCCTTCAAGTAGCGAGAAAGGGTAAAGAAGACGATAGCGAGTGTAAGATATGGATTTTTCAATTGGGGTTAGGGATATTTTATCATATTCCCTTCCTAACGTAAGACAACTGCGAATGTGTTTGACTATGGATTTAGATAAACGTAAGAATGGGGAAGTTTGGTCCATCATATCCCAATTATCTCCCAATGTATCGGCTCCAAGAAAAAAGGCCAATAAGTATGTGTGTTTTCTCTTTCTTCAATGAAGTAGCTAGATAAATGTTAAATCAAGGAGAAAATGACTATATACTTATACCCACCCAATGGCCCAATGTCATATGCCAATAAATTTCACCTAACATGTACGCTACCATGTAAGCGATGAGTTATACTCAAGCCTGCAGTAATAATTAAATCTTAGCGTGGAATTCACTGCTTGTTTCATCTCCTACAGAGGAACGACTAATATATTGATTTATGTTCACATTATATTGAGTGCATGATTATGCCCATTATTAACACTGATAACTATGATTCTATTCTTTTTTTAATTATCAGATCCACGATGCAGTACCTTCAAATATCTGTTCACAACTTAAAAACATTATGAATAACTTGTGTTTCATTTACTAGGGTATTGACATTAGTTATCTATTAGCAGTTATATATATATATGACAAATGGGGCAATCAAATATAGGTTTTGGAACCATAATCTTGCCGTATACAATAAGATTTTGGAATAGATTTTTGTTGGCCTCTTCAACGTATAAATAGCACCCAGCTCATCTCTTCTATATTACTTCTAGTAAGAAAAGAAAATAGGGGGGTCAGCAAAAAATCACTTTCTTTCTTCTTTAATTAAAAAGTTACGATTAAACTTTGAAAAAAAAAAGGATAATACTGGTTAAGAGATAAATTTTAGTTACACTAAATACAATTTTTTATAAAAAAAAAAATCATTATTGATATACTCTTATAATATTTTTTAATAAAATTTTAACATTATTTTTGATAATGTTTTAAGAAGCTGATTTTTTTTATAAATACTAATTATTTGAGGAAACTAATCTAACTTCTCTTAAACAGAGACACCCGAATGCCATAAAAGATTTAAATATAAAATCCATTTGACTATCGATTATGGCAAATAATATGTCACATCCCTATTCCAAATACTACTCCATACTTTTGACGCGAATCCAAGCAATTATCTTCCAATGGTATATATAGTTCAGTAATCAGTTTAGATAAAAGCATTTACAAGAAAAAAATAAAAAAAATATTTTTTTAAAAATTAAAATACATTTGTATATATAAACTTTTAACAATATTAATGTCTATAAATTAATTTTAATATAAAAATAATTTAATTAAATTTATATTAAAGTTAGAGGCTCTTACTCAGAGCTATAAGAGGAGAACGTGCCTGGTGCTAACATGTGTAAGCACGTGTAAACTTTTAATTAAAAATAAGAAAAGATCATTTTCTTTAACGTGACCTTTTTGTAACTTAGCGATATAAGACTCAATTTGCACACAAAAAGCTACATTTCTAAAACTTGAATATTGCGGGTTAAATTGGTCTAGCTTTTATGAAGATTACAAAATAGCTTTATTCGGATTAATCATTTGCATAAGCTTATTCCGGAATGCCTGGTTTGTGACCCATTCTGCATTCACATTATTGTTAAATTTTATTTAAAAAAGACAGGGAAAAATAAAAGAAAATGTTAATGATGGAGACAGCAAGCGTAACGGTATTGTATCTTAAAATATATTGTGTTTCCAGTTGTGTTGAATTTCATTTGATTTGGGATCAAATTGGTATCAAAATGTCTCTCTTCTATTTATGGCTTTTCTTTTTCTTTTTCCTTTTCCTTTAAAAATTGAACGAAATGAAGATTAAAAAAAAAAAACACGTTAGAACTAGTACCTTCGAGTAGGAATATTGAAGGGTAAGGCGTGGGATATAGATTTTTTGCAATTTTAGTGCGAAGTAGAGTTTATAATTTAAATTTGTTTAAGGAAAAAAATTCATTTAAGCAAACTTAAAAACAAAAATCTTTACTCAAGTAAAAATTACAAAAATTATAAAAAATTTCTTTAAATTATGAAAATTTTGAAAAATCTTTGTGCATAATATTTCAATCATTTTTTTTTTGTTAGTCATGCATATACAGATGACTTTTTTTTTTTAAATAATATCTTTAAAAAAATAAAGAGTAATATAAGCTACAATGTTTAGTATGCAAATCAGAAATTTTTCAATTATAGTTCCATTATATTTTATAAAAGAAAGATTTATCAAGTAAAAATTATCATAACACAAAGACTTAAGAATCCTAAATAATGTAATATTGGAGTTAATTTTCAATCAATTTTTCAAAGTTGTCATCCTTATAATCTTTATTATTATTTTCAATAATGTAATTTAATTTTAAATGGTTATACATCATTAATGTTCAACATGAGTGGGTCACTAAATAATATATTTAGAATATTTGGTGGGAGAGGAAGAATCTTCTCACACTACTATAAGTCTAAAAATTCTTATACTCGATCTTAATCTTTTATTTAACTTATATCTAATAATCAGTGAAGAAATAAATTATAACATGTTAGATATAAATTAAATGAAATGCTCAGATCAAGTGTAAGAGTTTTTAAAATTATACTAAGTTGGAAATATCTTACCCCTTGATGAGATAATATATACAAGAGTCTTTGACAACTATGTAGTCATTGATAAATATTAAATGTTATTCAATTTTTTGTAGTTTAAAGGGAAAAAATATAAAGTTTTAAATTTTTTTACAATTTTAATTTAAACAATTTTTTTATTTGAACAAAAATTACTTTTTCACTTAATTTATTTAAACAAATGTTTTATGTTCAAACAAATTTAAATTCAAGTTGCAATTCGTATCAAAACCGCAGAGAATTCAAATTTGTAAGGCAGAGCTGAGTTGTTTCCATCACATCCTCTTGTTAGATATTAAATAATTTAAAATTAATACATTTTCAAAATGTATGAATTAATAAAATATAGCATCACATATCAGTATTGTATTTACTAGTTTAAATCTTATAAAATTGGAAAGTATCTCAAATTGCAGATACATCAATATTACTTATATTTCACGAGGTTTAATTACATTTAAAGCCATTTACTATAATTAATGATGGATTTGAATTTCTCGATCATATTTTTGAGTGAACTTATTTTTTTTTAATTATAATGATTAAGTCCTTCGTCATTTCTTCTTTACTCAGATTTTTGAAGTTTCATTTTATACTCAACTTTCACACTTAAATTAATTATAAGATTTTTTATTTCTTTTATCTAAAACTTATAGGTCAAAATATCATTATTTTCACCTAAAATAAAAATATATATAAATTTTCCTTTTTTCTAATCTCTAAATTGGACATAATACAAAATCCTTCAAATTTCATAAAATGTTTACTGAATTATTGTCTCGGTACAAAATATATGCTTCTTTAGTTTAGTTTCCTTAATATACTTGATCGAAATAAAATATTGTACATTTGCAAGTGGGATTGTAAAGATCTTTTCTTAAGCACTATGATTTATTTATAAGAAACAAGGTTTAAAAAAATGTGGAGGGAACCATTGTTGGCCATAATATGGTCTATATCTTCTTCACTCCAAATAAGGAAATCATTTCAAACAAAGAAAGGCTTGTTTTCTTTGGGTATTGGATCTCATCAAATTTCCTTCTTAGTCTTAGATCAATTCCATTGTGGTAAAGTTTGTCTCTTACTCCGATTGATTATTATGTTCCAGCTCAATGTGTAAAAATCTGCTAGATTCAACTTGTTTTTGACAAGTGATGATCTCAATTATTAAAGTACTCCTTACCCTTTCATAATAATTTTTCCAACAATAATAATAATAATAATAAATAGAGAGAGAAAGAATAGGCTTCATGAAAAACATGTTTTTGATTTAGGAAATCACTCTCTTTGTAGTTCTTAGAAAGCTCTGTGTTAGCAATGAGATATTTGATATAAAAAAAATTGAGGAGAAATGTAGGTTTTGAAGTTTTTTTTTTCCAACTTAAGAATTTTCACTGTGATATACCCAAATCAACTTTAGATGTGGACTAGTTGGATAAAACAGATATTGCATGCGACATCAAATAATATCTAAACTTTACTTTTGTAACCTTGTTTTGTCATTGACGAGTTCACTAAGAAGGCCCTTTAAATTTAATTTATCTCATCAGTGCTTGCATGTTTATGTTTACTCATTGAGTTGTGAACAATAAAAGCATATGAAAAAAAGGATAGAAAATTATTTCAATTTTTTTAAAAAATCTTCTGTGCAACAATAATTTGCACATGTTTTTATTCTCTTCATATATTTTTTATTAATTTTTGTTATTTGTAATACTTAACTAGTTAACATTCGCGTAAGTATTTATTAAATCTACCCTGAGAGCTTTACCGTTTCTCAAGTAAAACAAATAGCTTACTCAGAAACAATATATAAAAGTAGTGAACAAAAAAGGTTTTTTTATATTTTTTAGAAAAGGATTTTTCTTGAAAAACATGGTGTAAGTTTAGATGAAATTGAATTTTGTGATAAAAAGATTTTTAAGTAAATTATTTTTATCTAACAAAAAGTATGTCTTACAAAATTATCAATGTCAAACAAAATTTGTTTTATTATAAATAAAATTTTAAAACTCATAAGTAAAAGTTATTTGATTATTTTTAGTTAATTTTATTCTATATCTTAACCCGAGCAATTAAGTATTATAAATATAAAACTAATTATTACGAACAACATTATAACTTTTCTTGTAATTTTAGAATAAAAATTCATATAATTCAAACAAAATGTATCATCTTAAATATTTTCCACTTAATATCTTAAAATAACAAAAAAAATTATTTATATAATTGTAACAATAATTAATTAGTCAAATAATAGTTTCCCACAGCTAACACAAACGAGTGTAATTTTTGTTTGAAAAATTATTATTATTTTTATAAACTTTATGAGAGACCTTGGAAAGGCATGCATTTACTCCTAGCATTTAAACTAAAACAAACATGATCTTATTCGTGAGTGAAAACAGAATTATATTGAAAAAGCAAATAAAATAAATATGAATTGCTCAAATATTTTGAATGGTTTAGGCGCTAAATTAAGTAAAGAGACGTCTGGAACAATTCGCCTCGACTCTATGACTCTTACGAATAGATTTGGGTGAGTTTTTTTTTTTTTTTTTTTTTTTTTTGCCTTGAATGACAATGCTTGATTAGTAGTGATAAAATAAGTTATTTAGTTCTGTTTAAATTAATTAGGTCTTCTTAACCAATTTTATAATATATACGATTTAAAGTTTAAATTTTAAACCTTATTAATATTTTACACAATGGACATAATTAGGTTAAGCACAATTAAAAAATTTTGAATGAAGCTCAATTACAAAATTAAATTTTATCTCTTTTACTGCTAACTTCTTCGCTTCATCTTCAATTATTTTTAGCTAAAACTTTATTGTATAGGTTATGATTTTATTGAAGAAAAGAAAATATACATTACTCCTTAATTGTGTTTTTTTACACTATAATTTACTTTTGGTAAAACAAAATTCAAAAAGTATTTGTAAGAGAAAAATTAATAAAAAAATTAAATAATTTAATTTATAAGTTAAAAATAGTTTATTTTCTTAAATGTTAGAGATGTTAAATAAAAAATTTAAAAAAAGAATAAATTATTTTTAACTTTATGAAAGAAGTTTTTCTTTAGAAATCTACACAAATTAAACTTATGTTCTATCATTTAATAGTATAAAAAAATTCCAAAGCTACATATTTAAGTAAATTACATATTTGATTCAGCTTATTTTAAATAAATAATTACCTTTCTTTATTGATTTTGTGAGACAATTTAAGAAAAAATTATCTTATTTTTAATATTCAATTATTTCTATATATGCTATTAATTATATACTTATTCAATAAAAATACTATTGTAGAATATTTTTGTTTCATAAATAAAAATGTGATTTTATTTTTATTATAAATTTAATAAAAACAAGTGTCTGTGTGTGTATAAATATATATATGCATTAATTTTATTCATTTAAATATATTTTTTATTTTATCCCATATTTAAATTTTGACTAATTTAAAAATATTTTAATATTTAATGTAAATATAAATTTATAATAAAAATAATTTACAAGAAAAATGATACATGAATGAGCTCCAATCAATAGTAATGGCTTAACAATATTTATTAGGTATTGATAATTTATAAAAAATATTTTAATAATAAAATACATACAAATATAAAATTTTATCTGAAAAACTGTTTCATTAAGTTAGAAAATAAAAGTGAAGTCTCATTTGTTTGTTAGTTGATGTAGTTGGTATTGCAATCCTTCGGATGTAATTTTTTCTTGTATTTTTGTTGGTCTATTAAAAAAAAGATAGAACAAATATATTAAAAAGTTGACTTAAAAAAACTTAAAATACTATTAAATAAAAAAATAAAATGAAACGGTAAAATTTAAATGTAATTAAAGGATAAAAACTCAATAAAAAAATAAAAATCAATCTTTATAGATAAAAAAGAAATAGTTATAATTCTAAAGTAACATTACTTTTACGAACTATCTTAAATATAAATAGTCATAAAATTATTTATTTTTATTATATTATGTAATTTTTATATTAAATATTTAATTTTTGAATTTCATTTTAATAATTATAATATTTAATATAATTTTTATATGATAAAATATTTTATTTTAATAATTTAATTATTTTAAAATAAAAAATGAATAATATTGATAGAATTTATAAGAAAGCGAGTGGCCTTGAATAATGGGAGAAGTGGGAATTGAAAAAGAAAAGAAAGCAAGGCTGTCAGACAGGTCACCCTATCCATCTTTTCTCGTGGACGAAATGATTCCCTCACTCTCTCTCTCTCCCTCTCTCGCTCTCTCTCCCCTCCTTCAATTCAATTTCAATTTCAATTTTGGTCCCAACCCCATTCCAATTTCAAATGCATTACACTCACTCTCTCTCCGCATATATATACCCCTCTCCTTCCCTTCTCCTCTTTCTTTATCGTCACAACGTGTTTGCATAACCTCCATCAGTGGAGAGAGAGAGTGTGTGTGTGTGAGATTGCAAAGCCATCGTCTTCTTCTCGGACCTTGGCTTTTTTTGTCCTCCATCTCTAATTCAAGGTATTCATTTCCCTTTCTTCATTAAGTTCATTTCCCTCGCATTATACCTTTGCCGCAAAGTATGTTTCCTTTTGCCGTTTGTTTCACTGCTTTTTACACACTCCAATTTTTATCCTTAGATTTGTACAGCAATAATCCTTTTTTTATTATTTAAATATGTGTGGGACTGCTACCTACCTCGCCAAAATCATATCTAAATGTTTTATATTCATAATTTATATTAATCTTACTCGATCTATATTAGTGAAATGAAGTAGATTATGGCGATCTGTGGTTTTCGTGATGCGTATAGCATAACACTCTATCTGGTTGGTTTTGATCTTTTTGACCCGAGATCTTGCATCTTTTTTAACAATATTTTTATTTATTTATTTTAATGCGGATGGCGATCGGTTCCATATTCTGGTGTTTGCATTAAAGATGATCGTGGTTTTGTTGATTTGTTGGCCGCCTTTATGGTCTGATCTGGTTTTTATGTGGGAATCTTTAGCTTTTCCTTCTTTTTTTGTTTTTTTAATCATCGATCTTTCTGTATAGAACATCATTTGGTATTTGGCAGCATAGGATATACTGAGTCCGATAAAATTTAAGGTTTTACTCTGAGACTAATTGAGAAGCTTGATATTACAAGTTACTCAAATGCTTTGTATATTTGTTGCTCTGAAGTACTCAATTGAGCATTTCGCTGCTTTCTTCCCATCAATTTCATGCGTGTTGTGTACAATGAACTTTCTCTATCTCTTATAGAAAATGATCGAGTTTGAAGTAAATCTAATCTTCAAAGTGTATAGCTATGAGTGGTTGGGTTCTGTAAGTTGCCAAATCAAAATTGTTGGTTCTGACAATCCGTTTTGTACATACTGTAGTTCGGTAAAAGATGGCCGATGCTGAGGATATTCAGCCTCTTGTTTGTGACAATGGAACTGGAATGGTGAAGGTTAGTACTTTCCACTTTCTTTGTATTGTCATGTCTATGTGCATCTATTAGCATTGGTTTCATTACTTCAAGATTTATTTATGTAATCTGTGTACAGGCAGGATTTGCTGGTGACGATGCTCCCAGGGCTGTGTTTCCCAGCATTGTTGGCCGACCTCGTCATACTGGCGTTATGGTTGGGATGGGTCAAAAGGATGCCTATGTAGGCGATGAAGCTCAATCAAAAAGAGGTATTCTTACTCTGAAGTACCCAATTGAGCATGGTATAGTCAGTAACTGGGATGACATGGAAAAGATCTGGCATCACACATTTTACAATGAATTGCGTGTTGCTCCTGAGGAGCACCCAGTGCTTCTAACTGAGGCTCCACTCAACCCAAAGGCCAACAGAGAAAAAATGACCCAAATCATGTTTGAGACCTTCAATGTGCCTGCTATGTATGTGGCCATCCAGGCTGTCCTTTCCCTGTATGCAAGTGGTCGTACAACTGGTTTGTATTTCTGTCTGTCTGTCTTAATTCATACTTTTATATTCACAATGTTCTATCCGTGAGTCAAATTCTTTCTGAAACAGGTATTGTTTTGGACTCTGGTGATGGTGTGAGTCACACTGTGCCAATCTATGAGGGCTATGCACTTCCTCATGCTATCCTTCGTTTGGATCTTGCTGGCCGTGATCTAACTGACTCTTTGATGAAGATCCTCACAGAGAGAGGGTACATGTTCACCACCTCAGCTGAGCGGGAAATCGTTCGTGACATGAAGGAAAAGCTTGCATATGTTGCCTTGGATTATGAGCAAGAACTTGAGACTGCAAAAAGCAGTTCTTCAGTTGAGAAAAACTATGAGCTTCCAGATGGACAAGTTATCACAATTGGAGCTGAGAGATTCCGTTGCCCTGAAGTTCTTTTCCAGCCTTCTATGATTGGAATGGAAGCTGCTGGAATTCATGAGACCACCTACAACTCTATCATGAAGTGTGATGTGGATATTAGAAAGGATCTGTACGGTAACATTGTTCTTAGTGGTGGCTCAACTATGTTCCCTGGTATTGCTGACCGTATGAGCAAGGAGATTACTGCACTTGCTCCTAGTAGTATGAAGATTAAGGTTGTGGCTCCACCGGAGAGAAAGTACAGTGTCTGGATTGGAGGATCAATCCTTGCATCCCTCAGCACCTTCCAACAGGTGATTGTTTTATTTCAAATAGGCCGTTCCCCAATTATGCCAATTAAATTGAACTCTAAAACATGTTTTGGTTTTGCAGATGTGGATATCCAAGGGTGAATATGATGAGTCTGGTCCATCCATTGTCCACAGGAAGTGCTTCTAAGTCCTAAAAAATAAAAACTTTAATGGTGAGTTATATTTTTTTCTGTGGTTGCTTTTTGGTGTCTGTGTCATGTCATGGGAACTATGTTGCCATGGATAAGACGTGGGAGGGTATGTTCCGAGCTTCTTGAATCATGCGGCCCTCTGGATGTGGCGGGCACAGAGTTGTTAAGAGGCCTTTTTTGCCTTGTAATTCATCCATGTCTTAGTAAGTAGGCTGTTTGTAGCAAAGGAGTGATTGTGATGCTTATTTTATTTCCTTTTTACCCCCTTTTCAGAGTTTACATTTTTTTTTTGTTTTTGCCTTTGGAACATTGATGAGAATGTCTATAGCTATATGTATCGATAATTTTTATAATATTGTCAGTAGCGCTCATAAATTATCAAATTGAGTTTATCAACGATTCACCAGCCCGATAAACTGTGTGCTATTGGCATGGTGACGCTCACAAGTTGTAAGGACTAATCTTCATTCTACAACGCTTAAGTTTAATCATGATTTGTTAATGTGTATGATTTTGCAGAGTTACGGGTTATGTTTTTTGGTTTGGTAATTTCATAAAAGTTTTATTAACCTCGGCCGTTAAGGTTGAGAATAAATAATTAATAATAATAAAATTTTATTAAAAAGATAAATTTTTATTATACTTTTATAATTTTAATATAATAATTATATATATTTTTTATAAAATAATTTTATTTATGAATGTTTAAACTTAATTTTAAGGGTTAAAGTTAACAAAATTTATTTCATAATACAAAAGAATAATTTCTTACGTTGGTAGGTGCGTGTGTGCGAATTGGAAAATGAAATAGAATGTATTGATTATTATTGATGACAAACTGGATGGAGACTGAAATTGGAAGGAATAAATTTTGGAAGTGTGTCAAATTAAAAATTCATATGTTTTATAATAGTTAATAGTTATAATAATATTGTAACAAAAATCAATTATGTAAGTTTAGAGATTAAATAATAAATATGAATATATATTTTTTGTTTTAGGTAATAGCTATTTTTTTTAGTATTTAACATAATTGTATTTATTAAAATTAAAATTTAAAACTATAAATTAAGTTAAAATAACATTTTATCAGTTGATTTGTGTCTAATGATTATAAATTTATTAATTTTAACAGTATATAGTAAATAAAAATAAAATATAATTTAGAAATGTAAATAGAAAGTAAATTTATATGAAATTAATAAAACAATTTTACAAAATTTTATTTATGTACAAATAAGATAAATGATAATTAAATAAATAAAATAAACAAAATATTAGAATAATTTTATAAATACTTATTTATATGAACAAAATTTACGTTTATTTTATAAAATTATCATATAAATTGACACTTTATTGCATTTAAAATCTTTTATTTAATATGTAAAAATGTGTAAAAAAAAACAAAAAAACTAGATTGCGGTTTATTTTTATTTCAATTGAATCAGTGTTGAGGACAATGGTCTTTTTAACACTTGAATTAGTAAAAACTCAAATAATCCTCATACTTTCTGTTCGTACTGCAAAATGAAAATGTTAACTTCTCACTACTTTTATTTTGTTCTGATTCATTCTTAAATCAGTATAAATTGATAGATGTAGATGGTATGGCACCACATTCAAAGTGATCCGTATGTCGCTTTTCTCGGGCTGTAGGGTTGCTGTGTCCTTCTTTGGGATATTCAAATCTTAGGGCATATTAATCGATTTTATAAAAAACGAGAATAAATGAAATACAATACTCTTTTCTAGTTTAGTCTATATGAATAAAAAAATGATATATATATATATATATATCAATATTTATATAAATTTTATTTTTAATTTTTATACTTAATATTACAATACATAGTAATAATATTAATTTTTTCCTCTACTTAACAAGCAATTATATAAGATATCTAGTTTAAATTGTTATTTAATCCTTATATAATTTTTTTTTAAATTATTAGTCCTTATATATAAAATAATTTTGTATCATAATTTCTATACAAAAATTTTTAAATTTTTTTAGTAAACAAGGTTTAAGAGCTCAAAAAGCAACCAACTACTATATTACAAACCTATGATGCCAAAGAGCCTAAAATATTAATTCTTAAGAAAGACAAAAGGGAGGATGGAGTTTTATCAAAACAGCAAAATCACTACTCACTAAAGAAATTCTTTTTATAAGAAACAAAATAAAATATATTTTAGTATTTATTATAAGAAACAAATAATAAATTTAATAAACATTAATTGTTAAAAATTTTTATACTCTTCTTTTATTAGTATCATTAATTATACAAATTACTAACTATAATATTTAATATCATGGATATTTTTAGAATAAAATTTATATTTATGAAAAACATATATGACTTAATTACTTTCTTTGATCTTGAAAATTTATTGTTTTGTTTCTTATAAAAATGATCGGAAGTAATATTTCTTATCATATCATTATTATTCTAAATATATAAAATTCTGATTATGTTCCCTAAGTTGTGTTTAAAAGAGTTAATATTATTATAACATACTATAATGATATAGGTAAAATTAAAAATATTTTTTATATAGAAATTAAATTAAAAAAATAGTATTGTATAAGGACTAAAAATTTATTTATCCCTTAGAGGATAATAACATTTTATTTTATCATATTTTTAAATATTTGTTTAATTACCAAAATATAAAAAATTTATTCCATCTTTTTTTTAGTTAAATTTTATTTATTTATTATTTTATACATCAAATATAAAATAAAACAATAATATATCGTATTTTATCTTCATTTAATTCTTGTATCCTAATTTATCTACCTATTTTGTAATTAATTAGTTTATAGAAATAATTACTTATTGTTTTATAAATTTAGAAGTATATTGAAAATTAATTATTTTAAAAAAATAAACTACATGCACACTTATTGTTTCCACGATGCAAATTACGTATACTTAGATTGATTTACTTGTAATCTTAGTTCCCGATTCATGATAATAAGTCTCATTCTTTAGGTTCAGTTTAAAATTGAAATATACAACGAAAATACCTTTAAAAAGCTGTAATTTATTTACTAAACACTTTTAAGTTTAAACATATTGATATTATTATTTAATTAATACTAAAAATATAAAAAATATATCAACATTAATGATTTAATACCTTAATACAAGACTGTAGCAATAAATTATTTTCAAACAAGATTAGATGTGGGGTGGCGTGTACTGTGGAAAAAGTGAAAGAAGGGACCAATCCGTGTGGTGTATTTAGAACGCAATCGTGACCGTCAGATTGAGCGCACACGGATCGCTTGAATCAAAAACTCAAAGCGCAAATCCCTCCCGCGCCACAGCAACGAAACTAATCTCTTCCAAATTTCAATTTCCACCCAAACCCAAATCCCTCGATACTATAAATCCCCCATTTCACTGCATCTTTACTACACTCTCATTCGCAATTATCATTACCGATACACAGAGTTGAAAGATCTTATCAATGGCTCGTACAAAGCAAACAGCTCGCAAGTCAACCGGCGGCAAAGCCCCAAGGAAGCAGCTGGCTACCAAGGCGGCGCGTAAGTCGGCTCCGGCCACCGGCGGGGTGAAGAAGCCTCATAGGTTCAGGCCAGGGACGGTGGCTCTGAGAGAGATTAGGAAGTACCAGAAGAGCACGGAGCTTCTGATTCGGAAGCTTCCATTTCAGCGTCTGGTTCGTGAGATCGCTCAAGACTTCAAGACCGATCTGAGGTTCCAGAGCAGCGCCGTTTCGGCTCTTCAGGAGGCTGCGGAAGCGTACTTGGTAGGGTTGTTTGAGGATACAAACTTGTGCGCCATTCATGCGAAGAGGGTCACCATTATGCCAAAAGACATTCAGCTCGCTAGGCGTATTAGAGGGGAAAGGGCTTAGTTCTTTTTGTTCCAATTGCTAATTGCTCCTCTTTCCATTATCTGTAACTATCTATCTATCCATTCAATCAATGCTAGTTTTCAATGCTTAGATGATATATCATTCCTCTTATATTTTGTTCATGTTTTACTTAATCCCTTATAAAACTGAAATTGACTAATTAATTGTATAATAAACTGCTTAGCAGCAGAGTGAACCACGGAGGAAAGTCGAGAATAATTTTGAAGAGAAATAAAATAGCTGCCTGAGATGTAAATCCAAAAAACAAAATTACTTTTTAGGAGTTGTCATTTAAATAATTTGCATTAATTCAAACACTTTTACAGATAATTGAGTTTGTAGAATCACATTGATCCAGATTCAGTTTTCCGTTCGCACACTTAACTCTCCCGACGAATCGATACATAAAGCAGTAGGTGGAATTTTTTACCGTATTTAAGATTATATGAGAATTATTTCCTTTGCTGCCGTTAATTTCTTGGAAGCCAATTTTTTTTTTACAAAATCATTAACGAATTGGGCGCAATACTTTTTTTTTATAGACGTGTTTAGACTAGTCTTTTTCAGTCTTGCTATCAAACAATGGATAAATAAAATTTCTGTTGACTATCATGAGTTATAACAGAAATTATGATAAAATTATGTTGTTAATACTTTTTTTCAATTTCTTGACTTGGTATTGTAAAGGCAATTGTTAGCTATTTTATTATTACCCATAAAATTAGTGAGCCAGTAAGCAAAATTTGGTGCTGACTTCGATGAGTACACTAATCCTCACTGAGGTTTTATGACAATCTCATGGCCATGCTTGGCCTTGTAAAGAAAATGGAAATGAGATCATCTTAATGATCCCCAGGAAAACTTAGTAAATTCACCTACAAAATCATAGAAAGAGACTAATAACAACTTAATATTTTAGCAAATGCTTTATTCTTTTTGCCCGGGGGAAGCAGCTTGCTCCAACCACTACGCTTCCAAAGCATGTGCCGCTGATAGTTGGTGTAGACTCTCCCTCGCTGCTCTGCTTTTTCCTTGCTTCATTAGCTCTATAAACTCCCTAAAAGCTGCATTATCAACAATCATTTTAGATATTTGTTGATCATATCCAAATTTAAGCCATGTCAATAAATGAAAATAGGCAAGTTAATTGCAATAAACACATCCTGGATAACTCAGTTCTGCACCTCAATCTAACCACTTCTCATGCTAAACTGTGCAAGTTTCAAGTCTCTCACCATAGTCAGAATCATGAGGCCCAGGGGATGCTTCAGGGTGGTATTGAAGAGACATAAGATTTTGAGCAGGGAAAGAAAGACCAGCACAACTTCGATCATTAAGATTGATATGAGTAACCTCCACTCCTTTCGGCAGTGTGGCAGGGTCAACAGCATAGTTGTGATTCTGCCAATTTATATATTAATTTATGATGACACAAGGCCAAGAATAAAACAACTAAAGACTTACATAACACAAACATTTTTCTTGATAAGATAAAATACATGAAAACTTTTTAAAAAAATACAGAACATGGAAGCCATCTCAAGTGATTTCTTTAATTTGTTTCAAAGACATGATTGACTCAACAAAACAGGAATAGGACTTGCATATAATATTTTTCAGTTCAACATGTTTGCTGCTATATGTGGAGTTTGTCATGCTGATTTGTACAGCCTTACAAGACTAATAATGCCCATGGGTTGATATTACAGAGACATCAAACCAAACTTCTACCATTTGCATAGTTTTTTTTAACCCCCAACATCAGCCACTATTATAAGCAGTTGTGGCTTAATTTTCTTAAGTCATGGGGCCAAGTTTCAAACCTTCCCAGAAGGCAAAAAATTATAGGTCTAAAACAAATATTCTGTTTGTCTCTCCCGGCACACTCATTACATTCAAGTGGATTTAAGTGAAATTATGGTGGAACACTAATAAATAAAAAGTTACAGAAAATAATCCTTTTGTTCACAAACCTGAGCACTAATTTCAACATGTCCAGTACGAAGGTTACGAACAGGATGATTTCCTCCATGGTGACCAAATTTCATCTTGAAGGTTTTACCTCCTAAAGCCTGGCCTAGCAATTGATGGCCCATACAAATTCCAAAAACAGGCACCTTTCCAATAATATTCTTTACTGTTTCAACAGCATAAGGAACAGCAGATGGATCTCCAGGGCCATTGCTGAAAAGGACTCCATCTGGTTTCATCTTTAAAGTTTCTAATGCTGGCCACGTAGATGGCACAACAGTGATTTTGCAGCCGTATGATGCTAGGCGCTTCAGTATATTATGCTTGATTCCAAAATCATAGGCGACTACCTGCAATTTCATTCATCAGCATGTAGCATAACTTAAGAAGCAGTACAGTAGTAAAAAAAAACGAAGAGTTGCTACAAACAGCATACTGCATAACTTACATGGAAAGTCTCTCCAGGAACTTTATAGGAACTAAACTCCCATTCTTGCTTTGATTTATCAACCCATTCATGTGGGGATTTGCATGATACCCCACTTATTAGATCAACACCTGCAAAATGAAACAGCAACCATGTAATTCCATTTATAAAGCATTCACATATACATAACCTCAAAGGCTCATATCCTTACCAACAATGTCCCACGACTTAGACATCTGAACTAGTTCCTCATCTGTTTTGGAATTGTCAGAGCTCAAGACACCAATAAGGCTGCCATCCTGCCGCAATCTGCGTGTGATGGCACGGGTGTCAACATCATCTGTTGCATCACAAAGTACCATCAAAACCAAAAGCACCAACTGAAGTTATGCAGATGCAGTGAATAACATTCTTGTCCAAAAGAAAGAAACTTTCTACATAAATTACTCACAAATTCCCATAATATTCCTCTCAGCTAAGTAATCACCCAGAGCTTTTGCACATCTCCAATTAGAGGTACTGAAAAATATTCATTGCAAAGAGTCATAAAGAGCAAGTAGACAAAGAAAAGCTCAATTAATGGAAAATTTTCAGAGCATAAGAACAGAACCTGATACTCAAACTTCTAATTACTAAACCAGCAAGGAAACATTCTCTTGATTCCTCATCATCTGGCAGGCAGTGAACAAAAACGTAGTTTTTAACAAGAATTCAACACTCGCAGGAATTAATATACAAAGACTAACCAAAATTTATGCCAGTGTTCCCAATATGCGGATTTGTCATCAGCACAAACTGGCCAGCATAGCTAGGATCTGTCAAAATTTCTTGATACCTGAGACCACACACAAAACAAAGTAAACAGCCACTAAATTAGGTTTCAAAGCAAGCCATAAAAAATAAACACATCCCAAGTTTCATAATTTGGCTTACCCAGTTAATGATGTATTAAACACAACTTCACCAACTTGTGTTCCCGTAGCACCAAACGATTTTGCTTTCCAAATAGAACCATCTTCTAGCACAAGTCTGGCATCTGAATTTTTCCAAGGCCTTTGTCCATTACCTATGTTACATGCAATAAAACTGCGTCAATTTGTTTGAACTAGGGATAATAATACCCAATACTAAAGCCCATTTACAGAAAAGAGATAAAACAATTATAGGTTTCATTTCAGAAAATGCAGTAGAAGATTGGTCCATAAGAAAAGAAAGCATTTTGAAAGGTATTGGCAAAGCGCATAGAAAAATTACCCGCAGAGCATCTGACAGTAAAAACGGAGAGTTTTGGGGCAGTGTGGGGCGACTTAGAGGCGAAGCGATTGTTGGTAAGGTCGTTGAGAGTGACGGTGAAGGCCAAAGCTTTTGTTGCCATTGTCCTGTTTCTTAAGGCGATGACACTGATACAGATATGTCAGAGGAACAACCTCAGTTGCGGTACAAAGCTTTCCTTCACGGCTTCACCTAGGTTTTTATGTTGTTGCTATGTCTTTCTGCTCGTTCTTATTCCATTCCTTTTTATTTTTTATTTTTTAATATTATTTCCTCCACCCAGGTTGGGAGAGTTGTTCTTTTCGGGAAAAGCATTTCTCAATTAGTGATTGCAATTAGGGTTCACAAATCGGTTACATTAGATTAGATGTAATGAGGTTCAGTGTGACGTACTTTTTAAATTAAATCTTTTATTTTTATTTATTTAATATCAGTTTATTTAACTTTTTCAAAGTATGAAATAGTGTTTGATAGTAAATTTAAAATTTTTTTATAATAAAATCTATTAATTAATGTTATAAATATATTTCCAGATTGATAGGTATGTTTAGATTTTTTCAGAATGACTTAAAATTTGACTTTTTAATTGAATATTTTTAAAAAATACTTAGATTATGTAAGTCTGATGTGTTAGGTTACAGGCTCTTTATAAAAAAAATTATAATTATTAATTAAATAATTTAAATATTTATATGCATATACTCATGGATATTTTTTTTTCTTTAAAGTTCTTTTAAAATTCTTTAATAAATAAAACGAAAAAATACTAGCAAATATTTATGATGCATCATCTTTAAAATGATAAGTTTTTTTTTCATTTTTAGTTAATTTTATATTAATTATAATTTACAGGAATTTTACAAATATCCTTCAAATTTTGTCAAACATAATATATTTGTTTAATTTAATAAATAAAAATATATAAATACATAAGTAAAAAAATTAAAACAAAAGATCAGTACTTTGAAAATTATTTTTTATTTAAGTATTTTATATATTTATTCTTTTAAGAATGTGTGAAATTATTAGACTAAATTTGATATGAGAAATCTAATATTAATGACTGAGAAGATTATAGAAACTAAACATGAAGAATTAAAATAAGAGAGATTAATAGTGCAATTAAGTTTTTAAAATTTATTTATTTTATTTTTAAGCAAAAATTGTTGAGTAATTATCAAACATTAAATTTTTAAACAAATAATGATTAGGGAATAATTATTAAACATTTAGATTTATAGCATAAGAGAATAATAATGCATTTCAGTGTCCACCGCATTTCGCATGTTAATATATTGTTAAAAATAAATAAATTGTATCAAGATTACACAAATCAAAATAAGTTTGAAAAAATTGTTTTCTTTTAAAAAATAATAAAAATATAATTTATTTGTAAAATAAATTGAGCCAAACATGTACTAGACATATAATAACAAAAATTCATAGAAATTGTAAGAAAAAAGTTAAAAGTGTGGTGTCTGTATTGAATAAAACAAAAAGGTGGCATTGCGTGAAGAGGGGAGGGTGCAGCTAAGGATAGATAGATACGCGAATAATGGGAGTCACAATCTAACGCCAATTATTAATTTGTTAGACACCAGTCAACTATCATCCCACTTTCAATCTCTCCACCTTTTAGACAACATTTTTCTTCCTAAATATCCAATTTAAGGGTGTCTCATAAATTTAATACAAAAATTACTTGAAAGTTAAAAATTAATTGATTAACCTTTTCAGTGTTTGGATAAGCTTGCAAATAAATTTTTATAATAAATAAATAAATATAATTTATCAAAATTTTAAAAAATTTAAATAGAAGATTTTCTCAAAAAATAAGGGCATATGTTATTTTTATTTTTTGAAAAATATTGGTGATTGATTCTTGAACTGTTTTGTTGTTGATATTGATTCTTGAGGTCGTTCCAAATGAATTGAGCTGAATCATAATATATGATACTTCCAATGATTTCTTTAGAAACCAAATTAAGAATTCTTGCATTAACAAAACCAATTTTATTTTTGATAATGGGAGGCATCTTCATTGACTTACATTTTTGGCATAGTTTAAAACTAGTTGGTTTGTACTTTGGCTTTCAACTAGCTTAGAATCAGGGGATTATACATTCAACTTGTTATGCTGAAATTCATCAACTTAATTTACAAATTGATTCATTATAACAATCATGGAGAGTGTTGATGCCCTAGTAAAAAAAAAGTAACAAAAGATCATCTTTCTAAGATACTAAAATTATATTATTTTTATTTACTTTTTTTTGGTGAATTCTTTTAGGTTATGTTTTGATGTCATATTTAAGAGAAAAAGGAAGAGATTAATGTAATTTAATCTTTATTTAAAAATTACTTAATTAAAAGAGAAAAGGTTAAAGAATTTTTCAAAACTTTTCAAAATTTTATGTTAATTTTTTGAGTTTTTTTGTTTTGAAAAAAAAAATTGTACTCTTTCGTATTCTTTTACCATTAGAATTTTATTTTATTTTCTTAAATATGTTAATTTTAAAATAAGAAATTTTTAAAAAATTATAAAAAAATATTAATTTTAAAATAATTAATTTTTAGAGATATTTTTTTAAAATATAAAATATAATAAATAATATTATTTATATAATTAAATCTCAGCACTTTCACCTTTCAGATTAAACATTTAAATTTAAATAAGGAAGAGATTTAAATCTTCTTTCCTTTTCTTTCTTTCTCTATTTGTTGTGGGCATGCATATTTTTTTTAAGCAGCTAAGAAGTTAATGAATACAAAATGCTAGTACATGTAATATTAACTGATATCTAAACACACTTAATATAATTGTTCATAAACATATTTTTTTTCTTTTTAATAAATTATTAGTTTATTTAAAAAATACAAAATAATTTTCCATTGAAAAATGATTTCATTTTAAATGGGTGTGTTTTCAAACATCAAAATATGAAAATTTCAATTCACCTATTTATTGAATAGTTTTTTTTAAGATTTAGTGTTAGCTTTTTATATACCTAAAGACTAAAGATTTAGTGTGCATATGAGTTGGATAATTTATAGATTATTTAATTATTTTATTAGTTAAGTACTTTTCTGTATTTTATATTTATTTTAAACTTTATATTCTTTTAAGTTATATATATATATATATATTTTATAATTTTATTTAATACATTTTATTATTTATTATTAAGGATTATAATATTTAATTTATTTTAAATTTATTAAAATTAAAAATATTATATAATACATTAAAATTATTTATTTAATATTTTAATTTAATTTAATCATACCCGTACAGTGTTGAAGCAAATTTGTAGATGAAGGAGGGGATGCATAAGCAAGTCTGAACTTTGATTTTATGTTTGGATAAAATAATTCTATATTACTATATTATATATATTTAGATAATAAAAAAATGGTTTTTAGAATACTCAAAAATTTTAACTAACAAATTTTATATCAAATGAAAGGAGTTTCAAATGATGTCTTTGTAAGAGAATTTAAAAACTCATGCAATTACCATTCATAACTCTGTTGTACCTTTACTCTCATTTAAATAATCAGATATTATTGATTTCATATTTACTAATGTGATTTTTGAAATTGCATCTGCCAAAAACATCTCACATTAAAAGTTTGGTGAAATATCTTTGATCTCAATCCAACTTGGGATCTAATGAGCAAAACATTAGGTTTCCTGAAGCCCTTGAGGTTGAGGAGCTATCACATTACGAATCAATTATTGGAATTTAGTTGGTGCTGGAGGCATATCAACAGTACAATTTCAATTTAGGCACAGAAAAAAGAGATCAACACAACGTGATGCACTTGATGATTCAATGCAATTGTGATCGTGTATAGTATAACTAAAGACAACGTTTGTTGTTGCTGAGGAGTGGCCTTGAAACTGAGCACAGGCTACGCTTACAAAACGTCCCAAAGAGGCAATGCTTAATTGGAGTGAGTACTTCGTAAAATCTTCCAATTCTCAAATACTAGCTCCATGGTAATTAACAATTACGTAGCTACTAAACATTTAGAATGGTTTGCGAAAATTTGTATTTTTAATTTATTTTAGTAAACTTTTCTATGTAGTTTCACCAGAATAAACCCTTTTAATTTTTTAAATTATGATAAATTTATAATATTTAATATTAAATAAACACTTGATTAACTTATCTTTTCAAGCTCACTTTTGTAACCTAAGTAATGTGACATATCTAGTTTTTGTAAGTTTTCTTTGCTAGCAGGACGAGTAAATTTTTAGTATTCCTGTGTATTTATTTCCTTACGGTTACTTTTCATTATTTAAGAATTTTTATTATTTTAATTTTAAAAAATTAAATTGAGAAAAATATTACTATAAAAATTATTATTTTAAAATAAGGAATATATGTTTTATTTTTTGTCAACAAAGAAGGAATATGTGTTGAAAAAGTTTCCCAAACGGACGGGTGTCCGCGAATCATCTAATCACTTAAAGATCCTTTTTTAAAGTTTATTTCTGAAGATAATTAATAATTTTATAAATTAATTTTTAGAAATGTAAAAATCTAATTTTAAAAACTTATTTGATAAGATATTTTTATCATTATAAATGGTATTTTAGAGAAAAAAAAAGTTTGCAAAAAGTAACCCCGAGAATTCATACCCAACTAATAGTTATTATTTTTATAACATTGTTATTTCTTGTTACAAATACTAATAGCAATCAAATTTTATTTTATTTGAATCATATAATATTATTAAGTTTATAAAAAGTTAGATTTTTCAAAACATTATTTACTATAATTTTATTAAAATTATTCTGAATTTCTATCTCTCTCTCTTTGTCGAACTAAAAGTTATATATTCACTCTCTTTATTAGTTTTTGCAAGTTTCTACACTTTTTTGGTACCGTCTTGCCATCTATCGTTTCTTATCATGTCTTTTTCTTTTGATGGGTGATAAATATGAACTGTGCTCCTTATTATTGAAGAAAATTCAAAGGATTAAAGTTGGATAGACCCACCAAGTGTCACAAATTTGCGGGTATAAACTTAAAAATAAGAATTTTATTTAATTGTGACATAATTTGTATTAGTGACCACCATCTAATTGAGGAATCTACTTTACCACTTGTATTGGTATCTTAACACTATCAGCTTATTTAGATAGAGATGATTCAACTATTAGGACATTGTCAATTAGTTATTCTCCTCAGTCTAATGGCTGTTGTCCCATCTTGTTATTAAGGCCCATCTTTCAGTTGACCAAATAGTAAACCAACAGTTTGAAAGCTCAATTAAGCTAGACAAAACAATTTTATTGCCTAGTTTAGGATTAGTACAACTGTGCATTATTTCATTTAGTATACACAGTTGTACTAAATAATTAACTATGCTCTTATTTAATAAAAATATAATCGAATTCAAAAATAAGGTATAGAAGAGTATTAAAATCCATATAAAATCTTCCACATAAACTTATTTTGATAAGCATTATATTAAAGTTTATTGAAATAAATTATAAAAAAAAATAAAAAGATTAAAAGTCTCTTTCTTAATCTTAAACAAAAACACTTCCTTAAGTATTTGTATGATAAGACGCGTTTAAATATATTTTATAAAAACTTTTTCAAACTTTGTTCAAATAGATATTTTTTAAATTTAATTATTTATTTGAAATACTTTTTTCTTTAATCGATGCTATTTTTTCAATCAGCGTTGAGTATAAGCAGATGCCCATTCAAAATAAACTTTATTAAATAAATTAATATATTGCATAATCTCAAATGTTTTCGGTTTTGATGTAAATAAAATAATACAATATTCCTAGATTGATGGAGATAAAGAAGATGCACATCTGCCCTTTGATTCTTCAACAATTATTTCAATGATTACAGATCTAATTTGACCTACACTTGAATGTGCAAGCATACTTTTCAAATTTGTTTGTCTAAAAGCAATAAAATTTCTAATATCACTCTAAGAATAGTTTGAATTTTTTGAAAAAAGAAAAAAAGTCATTTGTTTGTCAAGACATAAAAAGAATACCGTAAATTTGAGTGGTTGAAATTGAAGTAATTGCTTTCAAAGTAAAAGAAAAGAAATTTCTTCTCTTATTTCTCTCATTGTAAATTATGCACGAATCTTCAGTAATTTTAAATGAATATATTTTTTTATTAAAGTAACATCAAATTAATAAAAATATTTTTTTCCATTTTTTTCATAACTTTCTTGGATTAATCAACATCCTTGTCACTTCAATAATTTTGTACATAAAACATTCTGATCAACCTGGGATGATAAATTTAGGTGACAAGGAAAGTGAGCAGATAGAATTGAACAAAGAATCGTTTAATACAAAAGAAAAAAAGAAGACAAAAACAATTTTTCTCTCAAGTGGAGAGAAAGTGAGAGGAAGAGAAATATACATGATCTTAATAATAATTTTTTTTATCGATCTACTTACTATTTTATTAAAAAGATAATATAATTATATTTAACATTATGCATTTTTACTTTTTTTCTTAATTAAACAAAAGGAAAGAAAGTAATAATTTTTTGTTCAAGTAAATTTATTTTTTCTTTATCATTCAAACGTTGTCGCTCTAAGTTAAGTTAATGAAGTTAAGTTAATGATTAAAATTCTCACATGACCGAGATTTGTAAAAGGGGTTCACGAGAGTGAAAGACAGTGTAATTTTTATAATCCAAAGAGAGAGGAAAATGTATCCAACAAAAAGGTCATTTTTATAAAGAATAAATTATATGAATATTAACTCTAATTATATTTAAAGTTATATGATTTATTAAACGAATCAGTGTAATTTTGATATCAATATATAAAAATTAAGAATTTCTTTTTTTCTAATTGGTAATACATGATTGAATGATTGTTACACTAACCTATGTCAATATATTTAAATTAATTTTAAAAAATGTATATAATTTTTATATTTTAAATAGATTATTTATAATAATATTTAATAAGTATATATTATTATCATTGACTTAATTGCATTTTTATCTCGATATTTTAATCCATGTACAATTTTATTTTTTTAGTTCTTTAAATTTTAAAATATTGAAATTAAGTCTTTCAATTCAAAACTTAATATTTTATTTTATTTTATATTTTTATTAATTATTAAATAAAATTTTAGAACCTAAAATTTAATTTAAATATTTTAAAAATGAAACGTGATCAATATCAAAACTACAATTAAATCATTATCGAGTATGTATATATATAAACTTCGAAATTCTGATGTTTATTGGTCTTTAAACTCTTTTATCTTCACAATGATATTATTTGTAAACAACTTCAGTTATATTAATTTGTATGGTATACATCTCACACGAAAATAAAATAAAATAAAAAATAATGTATGCAGGTATTTAAATAAGTTAAATTACAATCGAATGATAAAAAAATGCAATAATGGAAGAGTAAGTGGCATAATTAAAATTGTAATGAGTATTTCTACTGATATGGAATAGCTTAATGGGTAGATTGGAGTCCCCAATTCCGGTGGTACAGTGAAATGTATGGGGAAAAAAGTGATAAAGATAAAAAGGAAAAGAAAGAGTTTAAGAAAACGACGAGACTGGGCCTGGCGTGAGGAGTGTTGGAATGGTTTACGTAACCCAACTACGATATATGCTGTCGTTTTCGACTGTAACCAGTAACCACGGATAACTAGCATTTTCAAAATGAAACCCCAAAGTTATTCAGCCAACAAAATAAGAACGGGTTAAAATAAAAAGCAAGCCACGCCGATAAATTGGACTCGTCGTTGATAGATAAGGACAGTCTCAGTTTCCAATCTCATCCAAAATATCTAAGCCTGCTAAATTCACCACCTACATGAGGCAATAACAAAACCAAAACCTTCACTTTCACTATATTTTCATTCGGGTAATGATCTATGTAATTTAATTTCAATTCCTCAATCACTTATTCTAGTTTGCTATGACTCTTATGATACAAGATTTCGCATTTCGCCAAGCAACAACTTTGACTAAACGGGATGTCGCCGCTTTGCCTAATTGGCCATTCCCATTCCTGTACCGGTTTGTAATTCGTTATTTAACGAACTCAACCTTTTATTTTAAATTTTTTTGACATTTTCCGAGTTAAAGAAAAAAGAAAATTGGAATATCTTGTCTAGAAAATCATGCGTGTTAATTAGCGCAATAAAATGGAAAAGGAAAAGGGGAAGGGATATTTTTGTTTTTCACCGACACGCAAAAATGCGGTAGTCTTAAATTTAAGGCACACGTAATTGTATTTAGTGTGTGGTGTGGGGCAAAGCCAGCGGGGATGCAGAAACGTACAGAACAAGAATGTGGGCTCTGTGGGCCTTGCCTTCCGAACCGGACTCCGTTACCACACGATAGAAAAGAAACCGACTTTTGCTTCGGCCCTAAGTGTCCTTTTCTTCCCACCACCACATTTCCCACTGCAAATTCCCCATTTTACCCTCCAGATTAAGGGCCTCATGCACCGAGCACGAAACCATAAAAAATTTTATTAATAATAATAACCAGAAAGGGATAAAAAGCCCACTAATATTGACCGTAGCTGTCAAATTTTAATTTGGCTCGCTGGTTGCTAAAGGTCAAACCTAGACAAGTGGGAAATATTGTAATGACGCAGCAACCAATGGCACGGCGCCGTGTTGATAGGTGTAGCTGGATGGAATCTATCTGATCATCCCATTCTCACCCATTCCATTTCACTTCTTTTTAAATTTAAAACTTTTTCAATAATACGTTATAACCTCTCTCCATTATTATTATTATTCACCTTTCAATATGCTCTCCCTTGTTTTAACTTTGCCAATGACAATAATGGTATGGTAGAAGGTAGAAGTAGTCCTAGAATATAGCACTAAGAGTACGAGCTATATCTCCTCTCAAATCAAAACCCCCACAACACATCCCCAGTTATCAAAATTACCCTTCTTCTTATTTTTTTTTTCCAAATTTCACCAACTTCGTTTTTCTTTTGCCCCAGCCACTAGAGTTTCTTTGCTGTAATTCGGGGAAACTGATGCTGGAAGCGGTACCCCCCATAGAGAACCCGGAGGGTGGTGGCGTGGCCGTTCCCGATGGGTTGAAAGCGGAGCACGGCGAAGAGGGTGACCGGAATTCCGCCGCGAACCGGTGGCCTCGAGATGAGACAATGGCTTTGCTCAAGATACGGTCTGAAATGGACGTTGCTTTCAAAGATACCAGCCCCAAAGCCCCTCTTTGGGAACAAGTCTCAAGGTCAGTTCCTTTTTCACCCTCTTCCATTCCCTTCATAAATGCAGCTAAATTTTCATTTGGGTCATTCCATTTTAGTACTAGTGTCACATATAAATGATATATACTCCTTCGCGGTCATGATTATATGAAACATTTATTGTGCAATGTTGTGATTGAATTTAGAACTTACGACTACTCAGGAAATTAGCGGAACTAGGATATCATAGGAGTGCGAAGAAGTGCAAGGAGAAGTTTGAGAACATTTACAAGTACCATAGAAGAACCAAAGAAGGTCGTTGTGGCAAACCCAACGGTAGCAAAACTTATCGATTTTTCGAGCAATTGGAAGCTTTAGACGGTCACCACTCTCTTCCTCCTCCCCCAACTACTTTACCTACCTCGGAAGAACAACTAGAGGTCACTGCTAAATCTACAACCCATGTGCCCGACAACAACGTTAACGTTATCGAAGATGCGGTTCCTTGTTCCGTTAGATACCCTAGTGCAAACGCTGTGGAATATTATTCTAGTTCCACCACTTCGTCTTCGGGCAAAGGGTCAAAGAAGAAGAAACTGACGCAGTTTTTTGAAGGGCTTATGAGGGAAGTGATAGAGAAGCAAGAAACGCTTCAGAGGAAGTTCATGGAGGTGTTGGAGAAGTGTGAACAGGATCGAATAGCGAGAGAGGAAGCGTGGAAGAATGAAGAGCTTGCTCGGATTAAAAAGGAACGCGAGGTTCTGGCTCAGGAAAGGTCAATTGCTGCGGCTAAAGATGAAGCAGTGCTTGCTTTTCTCAAAAAGTTCACAGAAAACACGGTGCAGTTACCCGAGAAGATTCAGGTTCAAAAGGAGAAAGATAAGGACATGGTAGAGAGTGGTGATAGAGATAAGCAAGAGTGTGGAAATGTTAGTGTCGGGAATTTCATACATATGAGTTCATCGCGATGGCCTAAGGATGAAGTTGAGGCTTTAATAAGGTTGAGGACACAGCTTGATGTGCAGTCTCAAGGGAATGGATCTAAAGGGCCTCTTTGGGAGGAGATATCTTTGGCAATGAAGAACCTTGGCTATGATCGTAGTGCCAAGAGGTGCAAGGAAAAATGGGAGAACATTAACAAATACTTCAAGAGAATGAAGGAAAAGAACAAGAGAAAGCCTTCGGATTCCAAAACGTGTCCTTATTATCACCACCTTGAAGCTTTATACAGTAAAAAGCCCAAGAAAGTGGATGAGTCGGTTGGTAATTCTGGGAACGAGTTGAAGCCTGAGGAGCTATTGATGCATATCATGGAAAGTCAAGAAGATAGACAACAACAGGTAGAATCATCATCATCTGAAGATGGTGAAGGAGAGAACACGGATCAGAACCAAAGAGAGAATGAAGATCAAGGTGGGTATCACATGGCAATTGCAAATAGTCCTTCCTTAGCAATCATGAGTTAAAAGCTTAATTTCAAGAGATTCTTTAATTGAAACTTCTGTGACTACCAACGTGGGGTTCCCGTTCTTTTGACTTTCCAATGATTTATCAAACTAAGATCAGTGGGAGATGAGTTGGGGTCATGAACAATCTTAGGTAGAATACAAACCAGTCTCATGGGTGGTGTCTTTGTATGTATTATTATTACCCTATATCTTCCAATTTTCATTGGTTTTTTGTTTTTAGTTTTTTTGTTGAGTGAACATGATACACGGAACACGCACATTGAAAGGGGGAGAGATTTGTCTGTGTGTAAAAAATAAAGTCACTCGGCGTGTAATCTAATGTTATATCAAATTTTCCCTAGAAGTTTGTAAACCCATGTGTGATCAGGTGGGAAATGGTTGGATTTGTTTGTTTGTGACAATAAAAAAGGACATAGCGGTGAACTGTAATGAAAGTGCATTTTTGTTTAAAGTAGAGCGGAATGGATGATTACATCACGCGTGGGTAAAGCATTTGGCTATCATTGTGGATGGATATGCATCTTACCAAGATCTGTGCTTAAGTTATGTGTTTTAGGGTAAATGCAATCACTGAGGCATTATTGCCTTTGGGCTTTGGCAGAGTAATAGGAAATTCTTAATGGCCTCTTATTTTTGTGGGAATATTTGGGAATTTATATCAGATTACAATGCTCAAGTATTGACTGAATTTCCTTGTCATCGGGAGAGGTTGTGATCTATGTAATGATCATGTTGACTTCAACTACCCCACCCGTTGGAATAAAGTTTGAGAAATGATTATTGATACTCATTTTTATTTATTATTTATAGTTACTTGTTTGAGGAAAAATAAAAGAAAGGTATATTTAGAGTGTTTTATTTGAATGTAATAGTAATATTTATAAAAAAAATGATGAAATATATATTAATATAAAATAATGTACAAATGTAATTGTAAAAGTTTTAATAACTCTTTTGACATTATTTCTACACTAGTAGGATGTATAAAATATAGGTGTAGTAGTAGACTTGCCACAGCTTCGGAGTTTCTAATAGGAACCCCAATGTTTCTTGATAGATTTTATTTTACCATGCTCCTCTTTTCCTGGGTCTATTAAGGATTCTTCAATGACTTGTTTAAATTGTTTCAACCAAAAATAAATTTATTTTCGAACATTAAGTTTATTTTGGTTTGTTCAGAGAAATATTTTAAGAATATTAATCATTTTCTAAAACAAAATTATATACAAGCATGGTTTATATAGCATCATAGTTGTGGAACCTCCCCTAAATTTCATTAGGGTCTAATAAAAAAAATAAATTGAAAATAGCATTACTATTACTTCAAACTGTATGGCTTCGCTTTTTGTAAATTGAATAATAACATTAAGTCACCCTTTACAAAATATTGTTAAGTGTAATATATAATTTCAATTTAATTACATAATATTTTTAATTTTATCATATATATATATATATATATATATATCGTTTGTGCACAAATTTATTGTCATTTCTGATATAAAGACTGTCTTTTCTCCCATTCAGTTACTGTACTTCAAACTTTAGTAAAGTGACTGTAGTAAATAAATACAAAAGATTTCTCAGGTTTTTGGTGCACTTCTTTCGGCTGTTTTTCTTAATTTTTGGGCTTAATGTTAACACGTCATGCACACTTTGTCTTAATCTGTTGTATTTGTATATTACAAAAGAAAAGTAAAAGCAGTAAGCTCTCAATTTGATGATGTATATATATCACTAGTGTCATTATCATTTAAAGAAGACAATTATCATTTTGATTTGCGACTAATGAATAAAATTCAAAAACATTGGCAGGGTCCACCATATATTGTTTCCCCAAGTTGTCTGTAGTAAAAAGCAAGTTGGGTAGATAGATGAATAAAATGGTTTGCATGATTTTACGGTGGTAGACCACTTCCCACCCATGTGAGAGTCACTGAGCCGAGTTAACATTACAAGTTTGATTTTAACCTCGGGCTACTTTTTTTTATTAAATTATATATTTAATCTTTATAATTTAAACTTGTTTTCAAATTAATTTTCATATTTAAAAAATATTTTTATAAAAGAACTTTGCTATATTTTAGTCATTTTATTTACATTTTGGTAATTACTCGTTAACAATATTATAATAATAACAACTAAAATATAACAAAATATTTATACAAAAATTTAAAATATTTTTTTGAGTATATAGAGTAATTTATTAACAAGTATTAATTATAGAGATTAAATATATATTTTAATAAAAGCAAAAAAAATATTTTTAATAGAATTGTTTAAAAAAATTTAAAAATAAAATATCAAATAAAAAATCATAAATGTTTAAAAAAATTTATATATTTAAGTTAGATTATATATATATATATATATATATATATATATATATATATATTGATAGATTTCATTGTTTGTGTAAATACATAAATTAATAAAATAATAAAAATATTTTTTCTTAAGTATAGGAATTAATTTATTAACAAGTAATGATTATAAAAATTATATTTTAATTAGAAAAAAAAGTCTTGACATAATTATCTAGAAGAAAAATTAAAAATGAGGTGCCAAGTAAAAGAATTATGAATTTCAAAAAACTCATTTATTTAAATAAAAAATTATTTATGATATATATGTATTTATTAATAGATTTTATTATTTGGTGAATACATAAAATAATGAAATAATAATTTTAATTAATAAAACATTAAAAATAATTTACATATAATAAAAAATATTACGATTAAAAAAAAATACTAAACATGCTTAGATATTTTTCATAAATAAAATATGTAATTACTAAAAAATAGTATAAAGACTAAATAATGACATGTTAAACGATATAATAAAATTATTTACAAAATTCATCATCTGACAATTTTGATTTTATAAAATTTTGAATAATAATATAATATTACATATTAAATATAGTAAATATTTTATTTTATATTTATAAAAATTATTTTTTAAATATATAAAAATTAGTATCTTATAAAAATATATTATATATAATTAACATAGTTTCATATACAAAATTATAATAAATATGTAAATGTTGATATTTTATTCATTCTTATTAAAATAAAATAAAAAGTAAAATATAAAATTAAGTAAAATTATTTATTAGTTAAGAAAAATCAAATGTTGTGAAGATAAAATTGGACAATAATTCATTATTTTTAGCTAAATTTGGTGTTTGGTTTAAAGTTATATTTGATTAAAATACATATTTAATTTATATATTTGACATATTTATGAATTAGTACCTATATTTAAAAATTATATTGTAGTTTCTATATTTGAGAAAAAAATTTACATTTGTGTTTTTATATTTAAAAATAAATATTAATCTTTGTATAAATGTATATTTTAGTCTTTTTTTATTTATAATGTTATTATAATAACATTGATAAAATGTAAATAATAAAGATCCAAACATAACAAATCAAATAATTGTTTTAGGTATAAGAATTTATAAAATAATAAAAAGGAAAATTACTTCATTGCATGAAATTTTTTTTATGAAATAAACAAATTATGTAACATATTTTAGGTTTACATTTATAGTTTAATTTTGATTAATAAACATTTTATATACTTTATTTTTATAATTTTTACCATTTTCTACTTATTTGAATAAATTGGGCCTATTACAAATAAATGATTTAATTTCGTATTTTCGGTTATTCTCATATCTGACTACTATTTTGGCCATAACATTTTTTACAGATATCGTTTTTGGCTGATTCCAATTGCATTGAATTCTACACATTCAGAGTTTCAAAATGCATATATGGATATTTGGATTTAGAGTTATTTTCAATTTTTTATGTTTTTTTGAAGTTGAGACAAATTTACTGAATATTTTTGCGGGATTGCATTTAGACCCTTATTATTTAATAATTGTATTTGGGCTTTTAGATATTATTGAGCCCCAAATTTTGGCCACTTAATTTACTCTAATTAGAATATATAAATAGACTAATAAGGTTCTGAAATAGGGTATGATGAAGAGGTTAGACACTTTGAGTTTTTGAAATTTAGCTTTCTCTCGAACTTTCTCGTTCTTTTCTTATTCTTGAGTGGGTTAAGTACTTCGATAGAAGGCTAAACCTTTCATTCAACCCGCAAAATCTAAACGCATTAATTTCAACTTGAGTTATGCGCTAAATTACTCTAAGTTTGTTCTCTTTTTCTCTCTAATATCAAAATTGTGTATTGCGATTGTGATTAACTTTTCTGTTGTTAGAATTCAAATTAGAACTCGATTGATGCTCTGATTTGATAATTAATGTGGATTAGGTTAAATAATTATTTGATTTAATTCGTAACTGTGTTTAATTAGGTTATTCGATTGAATTAATAATTGAATTGGGTGATTGTTCAAACGTGGATTTAAATTTTTAGATACTGTGATAGCCGAAGTTACACGCATTTAATATTCTGTGGATTGATGTTTCTTAATTTATTTTTACTCAATTTTATTCTATTCATAATTCAACTTGATTAATTTACAAATTTCAAAACCCCAAAAATCTTATTTGCATTTTTTAAAAGAAAACCTAAAATTAAATTTGACTGAGAATGTGTCTCCGTGAATCGATTCAGATTTGACTTTATACTACAAAATCTTTAGAAAATTTAGTTGTTTTGATAGCGATTTGGCATCTTCTATCAATAGGTCTCATATTTAATTGTATGGACTAAGAATGTTTCTAATTTATGACATGTTAATTATAAATTAAAGTTTATAGCTGCTAGGTTTTATGTTTGGATATGATTAATTATAGATAGAGACAAAGACCCCTTTAAGGTTTTATTTTATTTTATTATTGATGTGATGTAAGATGCGCAGGAAATAATGTTATGGTGGACAAGGAGGAAAAATTGGTTACACAGAAAAGTCACGTGGAGTGTGAACTGCAATTGGTGAGCCAAAGGAAAAGCATGAGGCAAAGGAGAGAGCATGTTTTATTGAAAAATTTTGTGCAGTGAGCTCATTATGCATGTGATGTGTTACTCTCTGAATTTTCTTTCTCCATTCTTTCTCATTCCTTCTTCTGACCTTCTTGATTTCCTCATTCTGTTTCGTTATGATTCAGGTTCTATAAATGTTGTGGTTGTTGGCGAACTCTTTGTTATTCCTGTCTCATTGTTGTTTCGTTATTATTTCTTGCTGTTGAGATTTCAATTTCGTTTTGGTTTATCGAGACTTGTACTTGTTTCATCATTTCCATTAATACAATAGTTGCTATCTCTTTCTTAATTTTTCCTTAAGAAAATTATCGTTTCATTGGTGCTTTCATTGATGCCATGGCTAAGAACACACGTATGAAGGAATTGCAAGATGAAGTACGTGGTCAAGTTGACGATATTAAGTGTTCAGAGAGCAAGTGTACCCATCGAGAAGTAATAAAGGGTTCTTAAATTAAGTTCCTGAAATATCGTCTTACAAGAATTGATTTTTAATTACTAAGAATTTCTTAATTTAATTGTTTAAGTTTCAAAGATACGAGATTAATTAAAAACAAATTTATAAAATCAATTATAAAACTAAGAGCAAGAAATACAATGCACGTTTTGGTTAAACTTATTGGAGAGAAACCTAGGGCATATGAGTTTTCTTATTCAATCCTTTATGTTATTTTTCTATTTAACTCTAAATTTGATTTCCTTATGATTACCAATCATTCGTATGAATACTATTAATACCCAATGATCATGCAATATTAATATTCTTTTATCTAAATTAACATCCCCAATGGTCATGCAAGACATCAATTTAAGAAAGTTTAAAGAACTTATGAACTTGTTAATTTAATAACGATTAGAAGAGAAAGATATGTTTGGTCCACCTAATCTTTTGTCTTATTTTACCCTATAGATTTATTAATTAACTGAGGTACGGTCGCCTGACGATATAATTAATTAGGATTAAGAAAGAAGAGCAATAGGATCAAATCTAATTACAAAACGGAAATCAAATTTAGATTCATATATAATAATTCCATAAATTCATGAACAATAGTTCTCATAACCCTAACTATGG